ATCGGAATGATAGACGTTGCAAGTAATTCAACTGGTACCTAATTACTTTTTGGATGAAATACTTGTAATTGTAACTAGTTACTTTTCACAAGTAAGGCGCCCAACACTGCCCATATCATAGCTTAGTATAAAGGATAATGAGAATCTCCTCTCTCCACGTTATCAAGGTGCGTACATTTCCCTACCCCATTAGCGCACAACATTGAAACTACATTGAAACAACATTGAATCAGTGTTGATTCAGTGTTATGTGCTACTGGAGTAGGTGGATTATTCTTGGCTTCATTTATTCGGTACGTACGTGTAAGTAAGTCCTGCGACTCCTCCACCGATAGAGGCATTCACGGTCGAGATGGCAGCTCGGCCAGCATAATGCCACTTATTTCCGGTGATTCCAAACGTGGAACCGCAGTTGAACCCAACCCAACCCCACCTGTGTTGTTTTTAAATCCAAAGCATCCAATTAGTGAAAGAATGACACATTTTGATTGAAGATAGAAGAGGCTTACCATAGTGTGAAAGTGCCGACGATGTAGTTGGTGCGGCTCTCCTTTGGTGGACGCTCGTGAAGACCATCAAACCTTGTCGAGAGAGAAGAAAATTGAACACGGTGAAGTTTCTAATTTTCAGTCATGTAAAATTAAGAAAAAAGGAGGAATGAGACCTATGAATTCGCGGCTTGAGCAAGAGAGTAGAGACGAGAGCGGCGACTCCACCGAGAAGATGAACGACACTCGACCCAGCGAAATCCACGAACCCCATGAGCCTCAAGAATCCATGATCGCCCCACACCCAACCTGCAAGAATGGAGGCCCTAGCCATGTGCATCCCATTCCTCCACTCCTCTCCACGCTGGAGGCGCAATGCCAAGTCTACCTGCAGGGACGCTGTAGGTGATGATGATGAGGAAGCAGTAGAGACAGAATGCGCTGAACTTGGTCCTTTCGGTCATCGCCCCAGACACGTTTGTCGTTGCAAACGACATCTACCTGGGTTTTGTGAAATAATTCATTAAATCCACTGTCACTAATGATTTTTAATTTCCTCAGTGCTGGAATTTCACGAATCACCACTTATTCGTTGTAGGTGTGATGAAATAAGAAACTGTGTTTCGACGAACTGCAATCATGCAATCGCGGCCTCGGAAATCCGAAAGAAAAGAAAGATTGATTTTTCCCTTTTTCCTTGCGATTACCTCCATTCTCCTTTTTTCGGGACTTCCCGCACAGAAAAGGCAGGAAAAGGCTGGCTTCCGCTCACGGTTTGTTAGCTTTTTTTTTTTCTCATCCGGCTCCCTCTCCTTTAATTTATTCCTTTTCTCTCCCCATCGATAGGAAGTTTCTCCGGATTCAATTCTCGTTTCTTCTCGATGAAATTGGATGAACCGTCGAGCCACCGAGGAGTTTCTTTGCTTTTTCAGAGTAGATAGCAAAGTGGGGACATTTGCCCTATTGCTATCTCCTCCATAGAAATTACGAGTTAGAAATGCAAAAAAAAAAATTATAAGCTAAACTGAATTTCAGCGTTCTGCCGTTGAACGAACTCATCCTTTCGCCGAGTTTTCTCAACCTCAAGGCAATTTGGCGATCGAGAAGCCGGTATTTCCATATTTTTTAATTCCGTATTTTCCCCAGCTGTGCGACTTTCATCGTCGAAGAACGAACGTCGAAAGATGAATCCATTTGCCTCCCGTTCGCCAAGAGGAAACTGCCGAGCCCGAGGATTCGTCCCGGGCGCAGAGGCGGACAAGCGAACCCGAAGGGCCGATAGGTGATCCCTCCGAATACCGAGTCTTCGGAGTCGCGCTTCAGGCCTCCAGCAACCCGAAGACCTCCCAAGACAATTTCATCGTGAGTGCAGGAATGAATGAAAACGGGAGAAAAAACGATCCACCTGTCCGCACGGTGAAGACGCTGAAGGACGAAGCGAGAATCCAGGTGGCATCATCGGAATTCACCTGGGAATCCGAGTGAATCGACTTCCCACTCCCCCTCTCGGGCCGGGAATGAGGAAACGGAATCGCCCTCACGCCCTGCCCTTTCGATGGACCCCACGACCTCACGCACCGATCGCGAGCGTCCGATCGATCGAGATCGATCGAGATCGATCTGGTGGAGTCTCTGCTTTCCGCCGTGGAACCCTGGGCGATTCTTCAGAGGGTCTCGCACTTGTTATTGGCTCGCGGGGGAATTCCGTGCGGGCTTCTAAAAGGGTTCAGATCGTGACTGGATCGTGACTAGATCGTGACTGAGGGACGTGACGACGAGCACCTGCGATTCTTCCTTTTTTTTCTTTGTCTCGGGGCATTTCCCCTTGAAAGGAAATGCTTTGGGATCCATTTGGCCTTCGGTGAGGCCTTCGGCGCCGATCGAGAGCTTCGGTTCGTTTTCGAATCTGGATTCCGATGGCGTCGTCGTCGTTTATGAGAGCCGAATTTGATTTACCGAAACTCCGCTATGTTCCGAAAAGGGAAGGCGACTTCGTGGATGATTTTGGCGCGAGCGAACGACGGAACTGCAGGGTTGCGCAAGCGTCACGGCGCCAAATTTTGTCGCTCGACTTGTTGGCGACACTTTTTCGCGACCGTGTCGGTCACGAAATTTCGAAGGTGGGAGAACGGGGAGAAATGTAATGGCAAAAAAAAAATTTGCGAGCCATATTGGATTTGGCACTCGTTAGGGTTACGTGACAGGGTTGCCAAATGTCGTCACTAGAGGCGAAATTTCGCGGCTTTTCTCTGCTGACCGCAATTTGCGGTTTCGCTCGCTCCGACTTCCGGTTTAAGGATTCGCGGGGCGCCGCGAACAGAAATCCCTCGGTAACAATTTACGTAACGTTTTTTGACGCCATCCGGTTCCAGAAAAAAAAAAGTGTGATTTCCTTCCTCTGACGTCAGAATTGCTGGGATCCGCAACGGCGTAGGCCCATCTCCGGTTTATTTACTGCGCATGCCATAAAGCACCTGCACGAGCGAGACGGGTTCATCGTGTCGGAGCCGATAAAGAGAATTAGCTCATCGGTTCATCGGCTCATCGGCGCAGCGAGTCTGAAGGGCCTCGCGTGCATTCGCCTCGCGGGGATTTCCTTTCGAAGAGTTCCAGATCGCAAGAGGAAAGTGCGAGGAGGGGAAATTGCCGCAATCGTGGCAAATGACGAAGCGATGCGAGGATTTAAAGACCTGGTATCGATAACGATCGCAGACGAGGACGACGCTCGAAGGTCGAACGGCCGTTGCTCGCCGGGGCGATTCGCGGGGTTCGCGGGGTTCGCGGGAGACGATGGAGACTCTCGACGGGAGGGTCCATCGTCATCGCGGGAACGACGGGAACTGCGGTCTGCGGGAGGACGAGATTCCCCCCGTCCGTCGATGGAGGGCCGCGCGGGTCGGCTTTCCTCGTCCCGCGGGACGGCTCGGCCCCGCGAGACGCGCCTCGACGAGGTCGAAAGCGGGAGAATCCGCCCGACGCAGTTCCACGTGCGAAGCAGAAACGGCCTCCCACGTCACCTGGATTCCCCGCTTAGGCCTCTACTCCCCTTTCCGACATCCATCCGAAAGGCCGATCCCGACGCAGTGCGTCGCGGGCCGTCCCCAGCGCCGCACGGGTTCCAAGTGCTTTCGCTCCCCGCCCCCCCCCCCCCCTTCCCTCCCCCCCCCCCCCTCCCCCCCCCGCGATTTCTTCAAGTTCCGCTTGCTTCCGGATTGATTGACGCGGTTCGATCGCGCCCGGCGTTAATTTTCATCACGTGCAAGTTGCGTAAGTTTGGGAAAGTAATCATCGATGCGAGTTCGGTCCCGCCAAAATATTTAATGGCATCGCGAAAGGAAAACGCCGATTCCTGCGAGATCCCGCCTTTATTCCGATACATGTCGCGAGACAAAAGCGCGCGGAAAAGAATTGGAGCGCGAGAACAAACGTCTCTCTGCGACGGAGTGCTTCTCACGCGTGATAAACAGCCGCGACAAGGGCGGATCCACGGATCGTTCAGATAGGACCCCGTGTGTGGATGGGGACGGATTTCCGAGGGAAGGAAACTTTTTCTTTTCTCTGTTTCGGTGGGGAAAAAAGTGGAGAGAATTCCGAAGGAACGAGACAACTAATTTAAACTTCTTGAGTTTCCTTCATTAATAATTAATCACAGAAGTAATTACGAAATAAAACCGAGTGCAGGGTGAGACGCCAGGCACGGCACGAGCAGAAGGTGGAGGAAAGGGTGGAAGGAGGAAAGCGGGGGAAGGAGGAAATTTTCCTCTGCAAAATAAATAAGGGAAGGGAGCGTGATGCCTGCGACTTCAAAGGACCAGCTTTTATTGATGTATCTCGCTAAACCACCGAAGCTCATTCAGAGAAAAGCACAGAGAGATAGAGAGAGAAGGGGGGGGGAGGGGGAAATATGCCATTGTCCTCTGGGGCAATTCCCTCTATGGGAGTCAAGGCGAGAAAAGGAGAGAGAATTTAGCCTTTCCCCGTGTGGCAGGCTTTTTTTTTTTTTTTTTTATTTCCTTCGGGAAATCGATACGGTTTGGATCCCGAGGCCGCGATGCCTTTTTCTGCCGGGACGCCGAGGTCAGATGGAGCCGGAAACGGCTCGGTCGGGAATGGAGATTCGGACGAGCGAATTCGTTTGAATTCGCGGGAACTCGATGAAAATTGCGACCTTCGGTTCCAGTCGTCCGTCCGGTCGGAAGAGATGACTGAAAGTCGCCGTGACGATCTAAGGCGGGAAATAAAACGGCGTGGACGCCGGTGAGAGAGTGAGAAAGTGAGAGTGAGAGAGCGAGAGAGAGAGAGAGAGAGAGAGAGAAAAGATTCCTCGCCTCGAGGCGGATCACGTGAGCGGCGGGAAGGGAGGGAGTATCGAACCCCTGGCCTCGGTGGGAGCGAGATCGCTCTCGCTTTCTCTCAGTCCGGCTCGAGACATGCTCAGTGGAGGTCGAGGGAGTCAGCTGGGTCCGGCGATGGGTGCCGCTCTTCCCTCCGTCGTAGCGTGAGCATCGCTAGGCCCATCCGACGCCGCTCAACCGGGCTAGGCCGTCCCTTTCCCGCCAGATTTGCTCGTTTTTCGGTCTCTGAAGGCCGGTTGCTGTCCGTCGGCCCGAGAACATGTCCGCTTGGTATGCGATAGCGGCGATTTTAGTGTATGTGGTCTTTCGACTGCTGCATCTCGCCCGGTCGCCGAAAGCTCCCGTGCTCAGAGGGAAGGACCAGAAGTATGTCCAGTACTTACTGAAGCAGTGTCCCATGCTGACAGAAATGTGAGTCATTCGTATTTCTTGTTTTGCTACCGCTAACTGAATGAATGGTCTAACCACTCAAACCGACATCGATTTCATTCGTCCAGTTTACTTTCAGTTTCAATTTGGCTCTTGTCGCCCATGTCGTCAAGATCGCCAATTGGCTGAAAGATGAGATGATTCAACTATGCAACCACTTTTTCAATTCAGTTTATATCCTGTAAATGAAAATACACCGTGGTGAAACTACCTCAATTTCAGGTAACTGAAACTGAGACTGAACTGGAGTTGAACAGTGTCCACTAAGCTCCCATTCACAATGTGAATACAATGTTCTCAGATTGAGTTTGTACCCCTACATAGGAGCCTTTCTATTGATTGCAGGTAGTGACACCATTTTCACGTGATTGTATTGATCATCTTGGAAGGAGAAGGTTTTGTGATCGTGAAAGGTTTTATATTTCTTTGAAACTGCCAGGACTTATTGTATAAAAAAAGGAACTAGTAAGTTGGGTCCAGTAAAGTGCACCTCAAGATGCAGGGTTAGGCCTAGCAAATGTACATATATGGAGGTTGAAGAGAAAGAAATGCGAAGAATTTGAGCATGTCAAATGATTGGGCTCTTTTAACAAAAATATTTAACCTTGGAGGGGGACTTGATGCTGACTCGTATCTGGCAGAGGACGACACCTGAGTAAGCTTGTCTTCTTCAAGGAGGTATATCAATATGCTATATGCCCCCCCTCTATGTCTGAAAATAAATTGCCATGGCTTTAGTCTGCACCTACCTACCCCTCTCTGATATCTTTCATGTTCCATATTCCTATCAGTTCAAGAAAAGTTATTCTTGAAATACCACTGCCATTGGAGTATCTCATCCATTTATTATTATTATTATATATATATTTTTCAGGCTTACATTGGATCTTATTTCTGCTCAGATTGCTTTACAAGAAAGCTGACTTGTGCATTTCTCGTTTGACAAAACAACCTATGGCATTCCCCTTGTAACTGGACTGCTTTGTCATGTCTATGACTCATTGAATTTTCATGCATTCTTCACAAATAGCATAATTTCTGGCTCTGTGAATGGTAAGCTACATTGGCCAATATCCACACACCAATGGTCATGTCCTCTCGTGTCAACAACCTCAGCATGGTGGAATGCAGAGTAGGGTAGAGTAATGTATTTGCTTTAAAACCTGCTGGACATCTGGAAATGTTGTCATATGTCATGCTATAAAGGGACTTATGGGAGCTTCACCCCAGAAGTTTTTCTCATTACATCCTATTTAAAAAAATTTGAATTTGCATCATTAAATCAGGTTTTAGAGGTTTATGAAGGTGGGATGAGGAGTAGTTGCTGGTCTGCACCAGCTGTAACACCCCAGGCACCTTCAAAGGTGCAGGGAATCATTTATGCTTCCGATTCAAGAGGGGTATACATTCTGAGACTTGCAGTACTGGGGGATGGCCTTTCTTCAGGAGTGGTGAGTCCTGGTTCACCAAATTCAGGGCATTTTAAGGGTGCCCCAAAAGTGGCTTCTTCACTGTCAGAAGTGCATAGATATAGGATGAGAGTATTTTGTGGAATGCTGATGGGAGTTTTATGTTTCATTCATAATTTCCTCATAAATGACAAAACTTTGAATGATGAATGACCCTTGCAAGTGAGCTGAATACTTTATGAGCTGATGGACATCTTGGGCTGGGATCATTCCCTAGGGATGGATGAAGTTCTCCTTGCAGATTTAAATAGATATAAATTTTGTTCCTTTGCAGATACTGCCCTCCGAAGTTATGGGGTCGAAGTGGACATTTCCAGAGCGTGATCCATAGCCTGGTGGGTCGTGTCAGGTGTCCCAAGGCTGCCAATGGCGACAGGATTGCCCTCTATGCTTCAGATGGTGCTCTCTTCACCTATGAGCTCTATAAACCATATCATGATAATGGAAAAGGTAGGCTGCATTCAACGACCTAAGGTTGGCTCAGACTATCTACATTTTTCAGTGTAGGGTTTGCATCCTTCATTGAAATTGTATTGGTTGAATTCTTTGCAGAGGTGATTCTGGCTGTGTGCCCAGGAATAGGAAATTCCAGCGAGACACTCTATATTCAGGCATTCGTTCACTACATCCAGATCAAGGGGCTCCATTGTGCAGTGTTGAATCACATCGGAACCCTCAGCAACGTGCAGCCGACAACACCTCGTATCTTCTCGTATGGTGGGTTTCCTTTTGTTGAAGATGAAATGAGTATAGGTTGGTAGTTGCTTTAGTGAGTCATATGTAGCCCATAGCCATATATAGTCCTCCACCAAACAGGAAGTCCAATTTAATTTTTCCCTTTTACCATGAGTCTGCTTTATTTTTTAATTTCTAATTTTTTTTTAAAGTCATCTGGTGGCATGAGTCACTGGACTATCAGCACAAAAAATACATATTTTGATCTATAATGGCTCTCATTATCACTGATTCATGCCTTGTATGAATCATGCATCATGCACAATTTATGCTTTGTAATTTTGTTAGTGTCTCTTCAATTGGCCCCTGCCACATTTTCATTGGTTGGTAATGTAATATCAGCAAAGAGACGTCTCACTCCTTGTTAAAGAAGCTCTTTGTGATGCTAGAGATCCGTGCGTGCAAACAGGCTTACACTTTGAGACCCAACTTGGGCCCGATTCCTCGATCTAGTTCATTTGGCCTTAAAAGACATACAACTTTGATGACAGGTCAAGGAGTCTCAATCATAAAATACCATTTAATCTCCTCACTTTGGTCATGGAACGGAGGAATTTTCCTCAAAATTGTCATTCAAAATGCCACAAATTTGTAAGGGTTGGTAAAAATTCTGATGACGAAGGTGATGGAAACTCGGAAGCAAGAAAAGAATGCCACAGATTGCACATGACTATTTCAAAGGGTCCCTCTTAGCTGACTGAGAAGTGCTGTCCTTCATCTGACAACACTGAAGTATGTCATGAACCCTTTATCTCCAAACGATCCACTGGAGGTCGTACATGTATTTCTCTTCGACTGGTTAGCTTCCCAAGCCCCATCCATCCATGAGTGAGTTTGTCTTCTCCTGCTGGTTGGACAACTTGGTCCCAACTTTGTTACCTATGAACTTCCACTGAGTTATTGACTTTTTCCTGGAGCTGACAAAGGAATTCTCTCTCCCCTTGGCATTTTTGGAATATGCTTAATCAGCCTTTGGGAGACCATGCTTGCCTGTCGCATTTTGTAAATGCATCCATCCATGTAAAGCCATGGCTGTTTCTCTCAAGTGTTCAGCTTTTCATCATTATTTGGCTTTTGGAGGCATTTCCCTTGTTCGAAGTTCTGATTAGAGTAATTATTTATTTATTTATCTACTTATTCATGTTGTTCAGGGACCTTCTGACATCATCATTCAATGGAAATCACAACAGGGTTTTTTTTTCTAATAACCAAGGAAAGAGGTAAAGTCAAACCTACCAGCTGAACTTCATTCCCAGAGGGGTGCCAAATTTCTTTTTTTTCCTACCATATTGTATCTTTATTTTGAGAATGAATTATTGGATTGTTCACATTTCACTTCTCACAATTCCAGTATTCACCTGGGGCATATTCCCCCCCACTTATCCATTTGATTTCTAGAGTAGACAAGAAATGTAGAAGGGGGTTTCATCATGCCATAGTTTGTGTGTGGGTAAACCTGAGTAGGCTTGCTTATTTAATTGGAATGTCATTAGATTTCCTTGATCAAATACATGTAGTTTAACATTTTTCCAAGTTTTGTTGAAATCTTGGTTGCCACTGGCTCAGTTTTATATGATCTTCATGTCATTTATAGAAGATATAGGATGAGTCTTTTCTGTGACCTGATGCTTAATTTCCAGTTCTGAGCCGATGGGCTGTTTTCAATATTAAGATACCGTGGGACTATTGCATAAGTTTTTCGTATGTTTTTTAGACTGCCTCAAACAGGTCCGACTTAAGATCATGAGCTGCATCAGGGAAGCCTCAATCAGTCTCAGTCGCTATCTAGGCAGAAGTATGTAAGTGCGCTGTAGCTTTTAATTTCAAATCAGGTGAGGATATCGTTATTTGCTCAGTGTGTGGTGTTTTATCACTACTCCTGCAATAAATTTAAAAGAGGAACATATCAGAGATATGGCTGGATATGAAATCTAGTGCTAGACCAAAGTGCCGCCTTTGACATAAATTCGGCTCCCAAATTCAATTTAACAATGAAAATGTTCTAAGCCCGTTCAAGTACTGGATTTCGTGTCCGGAACCTCGATGGAACGTGACACCGTAACCCACCCATGATCTGCCCCACCAGGTCACACGGAGGAGTTCCAGCTGATGGTGGACGACCTGTGCGACCGATACCCCGACTCCCAGATCGTGTGCATCGGGTTCAGCATGGGCGGGAACATCGTCTCCAAGTACCTGGGGTCCTGCCCGACCATCCCCAGCCAGATCGTCGGGGGGATCTCCGTCTGCCAGGGCTACGATGCCACACGGTGAGGCGATGGGAGCGGGTGGATGGGGAGCGAAAGTGATTTCGGGTTGGAGGTTGGAGCGTGGAGAGGCAGTCCGGGTCGACATTCCGAGTCGAGGTCGAGGACTTTTGGAGACCGGCTCTTCGAAAGATAAATACCCGGATCTGGCTCGATGGGGGATCCGTTAGCTTGAAATGAATAGTGGGTCCGAATTCCCTCGCGAGGTGGGCGTGTCAAGTGTGTGTAGAAATGGGGCTCCTTTAAGCGCGTCATCGATTTAAGTGGTATGAATCTTGCATGGAGGCGCGAATGAGGACGAATCTCTTGAAGCTCGGCATAGCTCCCGGGTCTGTCTCCCTTTGTGGGGGAAATTAGCCGGAAATTTTCGGCCGAGCGTGTGTAAGACGGCCGTAATTGGGTGGACGCGGTGGGTTTTCTGATTGAGGGGCTGTGTAATTTCGACCGTCGTTTGTGCGGGGTAAGAGCTGAGATAGATGAGAGTGCGTAAGAGCTGAGATTCTCCCTTGAAAAAATTTTTTTCCAGGTATATGTTTTCGTATCGGAAAGATTTTGCAGGCGGTCGTGAAGTCTGAAGCGAGGAAGAGACAAACAAGGAAAATGAGATTGTTTTCCGCATGACGTGTGTCGAGTTGGTCGGACGGGAACTAATCTGTTTCCAGAACTGGGATCGCGGGGTTCGTTTAATCTCGCTCGCGACGCGGAATGGATTCGGTCTCAGGTGAGATGGATCATCCTGGACTTCTCGAGGGAGAATGGCAAAGAAACGCCATTTCGTCTCGCCGCGTGAATCCCTCGAGGGAGAAAATGGCGGCGATGCCATTTCTGAGGGAAGCCTCAAACGTTGAGAAAAGGGAAAGTCTGCTCGCCATCACCGTCGTTTTCTTTCTCCCAGATGTGAAGGTAAATTCCTCGCGGGCTAATGCAGACGCCCTGCGCATCCAGCGCGAAAGGCGGAAGTCGGTGTTCCCCCCCCCCTTTAACCCAGAAACATGGAATACATAAATTTCATGATACATGTTTAAATGCTATATAAGTTGTATTATGATAACTACCCTGCGCATCCCGCGCGAAAGGCGGAAGTCGGGGTCCCCCCCCCCCCCCCTTCCCTGCCACTCGGCGGGTCACGAGTTGGATCTATTTTTCACTTCCTGAATATTATATTAATGATGTAAAGGCGAAGTTTCCTCTTTCGACCGCCCGCAATGAAACGGCATCGACCGCAGGTACAAATGCCAGGAGAGGTCGCAGGGAAGTCCCGCCAGGACTGAAAAGGGATGAACAAGAATTTAAATTTAAAAAATGGGACCAGCATATCTATGAGCCCGGTCGCACCGTGACGAAACATTCCCGTGAAACCGGACGTCATACATGTGTAATACGTACTCGATCGGATGGAACACGTTGCAAACAATTGGGCGCCTCGCACCGGTGAAGCCTGCTTCCCCACATTGAATTCGTTTCCCCGCGGTGAAGCGAGTACGATGCGCGCTTCTCGGTCGCCAGTGGGCTGCCGGGCTTCCAGATATATCGATCCCGTTTTTAATTTTATTTTCGCCCTTGAAGGCATCTGGGCCCCTGCTTAAAGCCGTTCTAAGAACGCGTTCCACGCATTCACCACCCGGCGGGTTAAATCTTCTTTCCGCAACGGTAGTCTCACGTGAGGCTTTACGCAACTTGGACCCGTTCCCCTTCGTTCCATTTTCTGTCGGTCGGTGCGAATTTTTTTCCGTTTTAAAATACAATTTGGATCTTAATAGGGGTTCTGCATTGATCGGTCGAAAATAGCGGTTCTTAAGGGTGCTGGGTCGATTTGTTTTTGGCCTGTTGACGAAGTAGTGCAAGAAAGCCAAAAATCTGCAATGCTGTTTAATTTGTGCATTCGCGAAGCACTGCGGATTAAGCAGGAAGTTTCTTCTGGAGGACCGCATCTAAAGTGCGACTCTTCATTCAACTCTCTTATTAGAAGTGTATTCTCGGAGTGTGCAATATGAGTTCGTTTTGATCAAAATTGACTCATATTGTGATATGCACTTTATTAGGACGAGTGTCTCTCTAGGAGAAATGTCAGGATCAATATTGCTGATGCAATAAAGGTGCAGATTGCCCTTTTCCACCAGATGTTCACCTTCTCGTATTCTGGGTACTAAAAGAAAAAGTGTTGCAAGCATTGCAAGTGAAACTGAGTGAAGTCGCTTCACGTTTTGAGCTGCATCTTAATTTTCTGGGAAACCAAAGGCAGGCGCACTCCTGCCAAGTGACACTTAAATATATAATAAATCTGTCACGAACGAATTCCATGGTTTTGATTGGGTGGGTGCCGCCGACATCTCGCCGTCTGAAAAGGGTGCCGCTTGCAGGAAGCACCGAGCGATATTTGGTCTTTAGTGTGATTAAGCAAATTCGATTTTGCGGGTCCTTCAGAAAGAATTTTTTTTTGCGCTTCCTTGACAATTTTCTTCCGCCCGTTTGATGAGTTCTTGTCCCGATCGACAGTGTGATCGAGTTGGAAAAATGGACTACCTCGCCATGGACCTTACTAATGTTTTTTAAACGACGTGTACCACTTTGACCCGTTATCGAAGAGGAAGTCGTGTCGTCGGAAATGCTGTTGCGTTTGGAATCTGTCGTCACCGTGCGAGGAGAGTTTGGCTCCTCGCCGACTAAATCTTTCGAGACCCGTTGTTATGGTCGATTTGAAGAACTTCTAATTACTATTAATGAATTTCGCCAGCAAAAAAAGACTCGTCTCACACAGAGGCTGTGAGTCGCTCTCGCGCTCGATGGAGAAACCATTTCTCCCGTCGTCGTAAGCAAAGTTTTCCTCGTTCTATATCGTTTAGTACGCAGATGTGTTTCTGCGCGTCTCGGTTTCGCGAAATTGGAAACGTGGGCCTTCGAATGCGTCTGGCTCCCAGATCTCGGAGATATAGATAGCCCACGAAGTTTGCCAAAAGGTATTTTGAGGCTGCTGGCAGCTTCCGACGGAACGTTGCGCATCTTTTCCTTTTACAGTCGAATATAGGTCATTGCGAGAACCTCAATTACGGCGGAACCAATATCCGGTCACTAATGGAATTTACGACGTTGCTAATCCGCTTATGTACTCCCCCAATTACTGGAACTCCCTGTTCTGGGAATTCCCGTTATTGACGGCCGATGCTTCTCTTTCCTGGAATCCGCGTTCCGTGCCCTCCCCGTCGTCCATTCGCGCTTCAAATTAGGAATCTTCATACGTGCCGGAGTTTGTATGAAATGTGTTCTTGTAGATCAAGTGGAGCATCGGTTATGACGAAGACTTTGTTCTAGTCTCGTTCATGGCGTGATGGCCGAGTTCGACTGCATTCTTATTTTTTGCGTTCACTAATTCCTGCAGCCGTCATAGTAATCTATCATTTTTTCATGCTTGGCTGAGTTGAGCGTGAGTTAGGTCTCTTGGGTCTCTGGCGAGTGTCACTGCGTGACAACAAGTTGACAGAGAAACGAGGCGAGTGACCTAGGAATCGATAGGTGAGACCTAGAACTGCGATTGTGTCGCTTGTTTGCTCACCGATAAGGGTCCTGCTCCTCGACGTGGACTTTGATCTTGTGTGCCGGTCGCTGCCCTAGATCTCAATCATCGATGTTCGCGATCGATGGAATCGCACGTGAGTATAGTTCCTTGGCTGCGATGTTGGATTGGGGCCCGAGAAAGGCGACGGGCACGGGTGGAATGGAAACGAGGGAAACTGATGAGCGATGCACCCGTGCTTCTCTGCTATCGTTGAGTAATTGGCAATGAGTGGGTCGATGCGATGGGACTCGCGTTGGGCCGAGAGAAATGGTTCCATCAAGTGTGTGTGCTCAGAATATTGGGGGAAGACGTTGATGTTCCGCTGGTTGGTATTGCATTTCCCATCATTCACCAGAATGGGGAATGGGCATGGATGGTAGATTACATCTGAGTGGGAGGAATCCATATTGATATTGGAATGTGCGCTTCCTGAGCTTGTTACTTGGAGGTGAAGGTAACGAAAATGTGAAGATTTTAGTTTGAGATAGGGTTTCTTCAGAGTGTCAGTTTTGAGACGGTGAATGCTGGGATAATTCTGGGCTCCTTTTATCCAGTGCGCTGAAAATAAAATATACCAGTTTGGAGCTGGTTTAGGGTTGAAATAGTGTCAGTTTGGTACTCTAATCATCAAATGGACCATCATCTCTGATAAAAACAGAAAAAAGTGATAGGGACATTATAACAGCCCCGCTTGGAAGTTGCCTTGGAAAATTTCCATTGACATTTCACTCAGTCTGTTATTAGTCATTTAAGGTTCTGTTTGAATCCTTGAATACCTTGAATTCATTGGTCAATAATTTTTTAAATGTAACAGCTCCTTAAAAAAAAAAAACCCTTTAAGTTACAGTGGATCCATCTGGAAGTCTCTTCTACAAGTTGACCAGAATAAATTCCAGTGCGTCTTGATTTTGTCACATCCTATGGAGATTGAGACTTATCATCTGTAAGGTTATGACCTTTTGGGCTGAATATCTCAAGTGAGCGGTCATGCTCTAATTTGAATAGAATGGCTTGTCAACTGCATATTTTTATTCAAATGTGTGATATCTGATGATCGTGGGTCTTTCCGGATGCAGTGCAATGAACCACCTGCTGGACTGGGAGAACCTTCGCCGAGTGTACTTCTACATCATGACGGAATGGATGAAGGCGCTGATCATGCGGCACAAATCCCTCCTCCTCTCTCCCATCGTGAAGGACAAGTATGGGCTGGAGGAGACCCGCATCGTGTCTGCTGCCACCATGATCGAGCTCGACGAGGAGTATTCGAGGTGAATTTTGCAGGCGCTGTTCATTGCAGCTTTAATCTCTGCTTTGATGGGAAATACTGTGGTGGCCAAAACTATGGAAACTTATGAGTTTCCTTGTATTTTTTTATTACTTACTCTTGGTTCCAGCATGTCAAGCTCTATGGTCATCCATTTATTGGGGATGGGGATGCATATGTCTGGATAAATGTTGGCCATGCAATAATATCAAAACAGTGTGGATAGCTGTAAGGTCCTATCTCCTTGTGGCATCCTCTCTCTCGTTATCTTTAGTGCATAACAGGAAATTCTTTTTCCCCACATTGCTGCTCCACTTTGTGGCTGAGTACATTGACTCTCAAACGATGGATTGGAATTCATCTTTTGAGAGGTCATGCTGCCAGGGCAGATGAAAGCTATCAGTTGGACTTTGTTACTTGGTAACAAAGTCTACGTGAGTTTGTCCCTTCACATTAGGTGATTCAGATCCTGTTATCTTCAGAGGACTGGCTCTCCTAGATTTATGACAAGCTGCTTGTGATTCAGAAGGATATTGGCCCGTGTTGGACTGCGTATTGCTTCCTGCAAGATGTGATTTCTGAATAATGACACTGAAGTGTCCCCTTGGCAGGAGAACGTGTCTCATGCCCTTATCAAAAACGGCATGCCAGAGGAGAAGCCAGTTAATAGTGTGATTGGTTTACCTTCTTGTTTGAAGCTGCAATCTCATCTTGAGGGATAGGTAGCAAAATCTGATATCATATGCAATCAAGCTTGGTATAATGAAAATTGACAGTGCTGAAATCCTTAGCATTACCTAGTCGTTGACAGCCATCTATATAAATGTGAATATAGAAACTCTTTCATTATAAAAAAGAGAAAAAGATTCAGGCGCTCCCAGTCACCAATGGCTTTTTTTCTCTTATCAAGAGAAAAAAAAGTAATTCATTGAAAGCCAGAAAAGAGGGATTATCTCATCCTTTTCTCATATCACTTTCTCAGCTTCACGGCGTGTGACCAAGCGAGAATTCACGGAGATATGGGGGAGTGTATTCTGTTTGATTGGGGGAGAGAGTGTAGGGGGGCACTGGGGCATTTCCGCTTGGCTGCTTCATTATCTTGGGGGACTTCCAGGTTCTTATATGGCTTCTAGGTGTGTAAATACTGTGGTCTATGACATTCACCTAGCGGCATCCTTAAAAGCCCTTGAGCCCCACTCAAAATAGGTAAGGGATCATAAAACTGTGAACATGGTTGTCATAAAATTGGTTGTGTGCATCAAATGCAGTTGCATGTCACTTCCCTGATGTGATAAAAGCCTGATATAACAAAGTAAATAATGTGGACTGTTTACCTCAGATATTGTGAGTTTACACTAGATGTGAAGCAGTGATCAAATCACTTTTTCTGAATAATACTAATATTCAGGATGTTGATAGGTATGTCTACATTCCTGATGAATAAGTTTTGGATGTTTTACTAACCCCAACCAAGTGAAGAAAGACTGAGGAAATTGCAGGCATTTTTACAATGATTACTTGTATTGCATTCATCATGTCAGTGCCTCATAATCCTCAGAATGGGTCAGTTGCAGTTCTATTGCTTTTTCTTAGGAATTGAGGTTACTGCATATCATGTTCTGACCCTTCGCCTAATCTTCCAGTAACTGTTGATTTATGACTAGTAGATGGACTGCAAACTCAGAGTGAAGCTTCTCTTGACCTGACAATGCGTTCTTCAAACCTGTAACCGCATTTCTGGCTCAAGGTGCATAAGAGATCATTTACACTAGAAATTTATTAATATAAAAGAAACAAATACCTAAATTCCATGGATAGGGCTCTATTCTGATGCATAGATAACCTTTCCATGCTCCTAAGACACCTATTAACTCTTTCTCATGAATTCATAATGTGTGTGCATGAAAGTATAGGTGAATTATTATTAATGGGTTAGTGACCTGGCCTGGTTAAGGTCTTCAGTCTATGGTCATGTCACATTTGGAAGATGCTACTAAGTTCTTGCAATGCAGCACTATGGGAGTGACCAAGAGATAAACCTTTTTCAGAACAATGGCTGGAATAGGTCTGCAATGACCATATGCATAAGTAGTCGACAATCACTAATTGGCAGCTAACAGTGATTGGCCCAATTGTCTTTTGAGGAATACTGTTAATAAATTCACTGTTTTTCTTAAAATCAGTTGATGGGTACAGAGAAGTGGAAGTGGGAACATTCAATAAGTAATGGATAAACTGTGACATTTCAGAGTGATTTCATGCATTCTCTGAGTGACTTGGAGCTAAAGAGATTCAAGATTTTGGTCATTGTTTGATGGGTTCTAAGCAATGTGCAACCCAGCAAAATTATCAAAATACTGAAAAGCAGCATGGCAGCCTTTTCTGGTAGCTCATTTGCCTCCAACCAACGAATGCGATTCCTGGTGTCATATAAAACTAAAGCCTTATGAGAAAAATATAGCATTTTAGGAGGATTTCATTTTTATGATTCTTATACCATTTCTCATGCCAAAGGTACAAAGCATGAAGACTTTGGCAGTATGAACAAAATTGTTACAAACATGTCTCAGAAGCAAACAGTAATACTATGCTTAATTACCTTATTCATTCATATGTGTGGGCTAAATTGACATTGGATATCATGTCTCTGTAGGAAAGTGCATGGGTTCGATTCAGTGATGGATTTCTACCGGCATCAAAGCTCTGCATATTTCCTGGACCAAATCAAGCATCCCATGGTGTTTGTGAATGCCCTCGATGACCCCATCGTCCCTCCACCCCTGCTCGATTGCATCAGGGAGCATGCAAGTATGTGCAGTACAACTTGCCATATGTTTCCCTTGTACAGTGACTTTCTATTGCATCGGAAATACTAGTAGTAGTAGAAGCAGGAAGTATATAGTTTCCTCTTCAGTCTCTAAATAAGTTAGGGACAGTTATTTTCAGACAGCAGATTTCATCCAAATCTGAAAATTTTTAAAGTTAACTCTACAATATAGGATTGAATAGTAATATCCATTTAGTGGGCAAAAATAAACATTTTTTTTTTTTATACTAAATAACCCTTTTTCTGTTGCAGGCTCAAAGTACTTAAGTTTACTATAAATAATCTTTATCAAAGCTCAATCAGTAATAGTGACAGCGTGCATTCAGAAAGGAGGTTCCAGGATGTGAAGTAGCTAAGATAACATGAATTCTGACCCTTTTCCCTTCCATATAGTCAGAATTCATCATATCAATGCACATGTGCATGTGTGTTCATCTCTCTTCTCAACTGTCAATCATTCTCTTGCACACAATGGCTGACATGCACTAGATCTGTTTAACTTTAAACTGATTCGTTTTCATAATGGGGATCTATGGGAATAAGTTTATCTCAGTTAAACTGATTCCCATAGGGAACCATTGTGAGGTCAGATTAGTTTAGCTTAAACGGATTCAATGTATGTCACCCAATATCTAGGCAATCTCTTTTTTATATTTTCCCTTGCCTTTTTTATGTTGTATCCCTCATTATGTCACATAAGCCATCTGATTATGTATGCTAAGGAGATTTGCTTCTGAAGTGGCCATCAACTTATACCAGCTTATTTTAGATACCTCGATTTGAGTCTTTCCACTCTCCAAGTGGAAATTGCCATACCATAGTGCAAGCTGCTAAATGCACAAATGCATGCTCTGCAGGTGCGCACGAGAAGGTCCTGTACATCGAAACCGAATTTGGGGGTCACTTGGGGTTCTTTGAGGGAGGGATCATACTGCCAAAGCCACATTCCTGGATGGACCACCTCATCGTTCAGATCTCGAACGCCCTCACGGAACAACCTCAGCTCATGAAGGCCACATCCTAGGCCGTTTCATTCCATCGTCTCGCGCCTGGTGCTACCTGTCTTGTGGGAAGTTCCGAGTAGTTTGTCTCGTTTTACGTTCGGGTCGGTGCAAGCACGGGGAAAATGGACTTTTGCACACCTGTCCATTTCTGCAGGCTTCAGAAGTGGGTTGAGTGTCCCATTCAGTGCTTATCACTGTAGATGCTAGCTGCAGTGATTGTTCCTTGATACAATTTAGACCCTTTTTCTTGATGTAATTTAGACCCAGTGATAGCATCTTCATTACCAAGGAGATTAACAACTGTCCTTTTTTCTGTACACCATCTGGGATTTTACCAGGAGTTAAGGCCAAAATAGTTGATATGCTCATTATTCATGACATGTTGCAACTCCATGCTGCCAGAAATCTAAATCGAAGCTCGCCTCTGTGTCGGTTATTCCCAGCCGCAAATCGGGAACGAGATCGATGGGCACTCGTGTGGTTCTCGTCACCATGGTCGGTATTCATTCCACTGTGGACCACTGTTGCTGTGAAAGATGTCATTTGTTTGGTCCTTTCATATTCATACTATTACCGGTACTTCTTGTCTCATTGAACATCCATGGTTCATACAGGGTGGTCTTGGTTTTTGTTTTCGAATTCAACCGGTACAGATTTGTTGGTAAGAGGTGTATTTTAGAGAGTCTTTATATGGTGTATTTTCTTTTAATTTGTGTTTTTGATTCATTTTTCCATGTTGGTACTTATTTTTAGAGCGAAGAATGAGTCATCAGTCATCCACAAGAAGGACTTGTGATAGAAAAGCTTTAAAAGTTGAAGCCAGAGTATTGCACCTAGTCATGCAAATGGGACAATAAATGGCCCTTCTTTGGCTCTATCTGAAGTTTGCTTCATTCTCTTCTCTCGTCGGAAGAGTTACACTCGGGCGACGAACACTTGTATGCTCTAGTCTAACATTTCAACCATTTTTGGGCATGTTTCATGGAACTCTTTTTTTTTTTATCCTTCGTTTGCAAAGTATTATTGCATCTCTGTATCTATTGGACAACAATTACAAAGGTATTTTGATTCGAAGAATGGTTTTGAATCAAGAAAAAGTTTATGAACCTTCTCTTTCCTGGGAACAAAAGTGTAGGCAAGTCACCTTTCACATTACACGTGATTACACATTACACACCTTGCAAATTAATGACAATAAGCACCGTTTTTGGCAAGACCTACCATGAATTGCATTTTGTTTGCTTTTCAAGTGTATTTATTTTTATTATACGATGTTGCTAATATGTTTATTTTGTTATATTGCTAGTCCAGCCCATCCTAATTCCAACTTTCGATCCCGAGCTAGTCCCTGCTTTCGGGCACAAACCACCACCAACTCGAGAAAATTTTCCGATTCAGCACCATCTTCCCCTGCAAAACGCCAAGTCCCGTGAAGCTCGACCTGGAAATGAGCGATTTACAATGCAATCTGATAATGTAAACACGAAACCTCGCCCTGATTCTCGGCATGGTCCCGCGAATCCCGCTCAAATTGCTCGCTGGGCTTCGTTTCAGCTTGAAAATCGACATGGCAAATGTATTCTGTCCCGTGGGAAACGCCGCGTTCGGGAAAAGAGATAATTCCATATCACTGTCGGATCTTCGATGTACGTGCTGCACGGACAGATAATTTTTCCCTTGCCCTTGCCCTTGCCCTTGCCTTTACCCAATGTCTCATGAAAAAAAGAGGAACGATCGAAAAGGGGGAATCCTCGAGGCTCATTTCCGCCTCAGTCTCGATCCGAACTTGCAATGTTCACTTTTTTTCTTCAATTTTAAGCTGCTGAAGATTGAGAGCTGAAAATGTGACGGTTGATTGAAATGTGAAAGTTGATTTTTGCGCTGTGTGTCGGAAATCGGTGACGGCGTTCCACTCGGTTTCGAATGAAATGCAAATGCGCAAGAGTTTTGCAATTTGCGAAGAGACACGAACTGCTTTTCCGAGCTCGAAAGAAAATCAAGTTGGTAAAATAATGCAAATTAATTGTCTACCAAAAATAAATAAATAAAGTGGAAGAGGGACTCGAACCTAGGTCTCGCGATCGCTTTCCCTCACGGCTATCGGCGGAAGAGGCCCGGCGAGTCGAAAAACCAAGTTTCTGAATGGACGAGTCCATTCCCCGCCGAGGGGAGGTCGGGCGTCCCCCCCTCCTTCTGGGTCTCAAGGTCACGCGGAGGTGAACGGGGCCACGGCCGTGACGTCACGGGGGGGGGGAGGAAAAACCGAAAATCTCGCTTTTTGCTGCTTCTTCCAAACCAGGAAAAGAGTGGCGGTTGAAGGTCGAATCCAGTGACGTCATCGCCCAGCCGGCCTCCCCTCCTCCCTTCCGCCGAATGGCCTCTCCCACCTCCCGACCTCCCCCAGATCGACGAATGGACTCGTCCGTTCCCGCGAAACATCTCTGCATGAGATATTCACCCCTTTTTCCTCGTTTCCCCTCTTCACGGAACTTTTTCCCTCGACAGGCCGACACTGCGGCAAAATGACGAGCGAAGGGAAGAAACGTGACGTTTTATTTTTTCATTCGGCATCGACCGCGAAGGAGCGACACCGCCGTCCAAGAAAGGGAAAATCCCATTCCGAGAATTCCCCGGACGAGGAAACGGGAGGATGAGCATTTTGGAGGAGGATCGTGAGTTCCAAGGCGCAATGGAATCTCCTCCAGCTGCCTCCTTCGAGAAGACTCGCAGAGAAAAGGAATTTGCAGTGGATGTGCACTAATTGAACGGGCGTTTGGAGGAATCTCGCTCATTAATTAGTCTGAACCTTCCCGAGACGGAAGCGCCAACTCCTCGGAATTCCCCTTTTTTTCCTCTCGAGTTTTTTTTTTGTGGAGTTAACGGTTTAAATTTCGCCCTCGAGGTTATAGTCGGTGATGAGGAGGGGCGCGGCGGCGCTTCCGCGAGGACTCGCGAATGCGGCGGACGTTCGCGGCCGGAACGGCGACGCCGCGTGCCGCACTGCACGATACATGGCATCGTCCTTTCGCAAACTGGAAAAAAAAAAAAAAATCGCGAGCCTCTTGCAGGCCGAAAACTCGTCCGGATTCTGGGGGAATTCATTTCGGCGGAACAAAACGTCGAGTCTTAACCGTTCAGCTTGCTGCTGCGTTGGCTGAATGCGATCATTAAAAATTACTCAATAGTAATTAGTTGATCCAGAAATCGAGTGATGGCGCCGAAGCGTATGCACGAGTGGCCAGAGTTGTATTGTCATTAATTAGCAAAGACTAACGAAGAGAAGCAGAAATTAGCAAGGGGTAACTCATTAGCATCGAAGAGCAAAACCTCTCAGTTTAAGTAATTAGTAAGTAATTAAGTAATTCAACCGATTCTTCCAAATATGCTTGCAGATCTCTTCGTGACCTTGACAATTGAATGAAATTCGGGAAATTCTCTCGCCTAGGAATTTTTTTTTTTTTTGACCCTTCGATCCTGCGAACACGCGTGGGAGCGATCCGTCGCAGGAGACGATTCCAGATTTCAAAGACGCGAGTCTTGGGAAGATTTTTCTTGCGAAAACTCGCGAAGATCGCCTGAAAAGCGAGGGCATGGGGCGGGGCGGGGCGGGGCGGGGACAGGGTCCTGGCACGGTCGCCCCCGATACTGAACATTCGACGAGCGTCGAGGCATTCGCTCCTGCGGAAGACGAAACCGGACGGTTCCTGCAGAGCAGGTCGAAAGCGAACGAGGAAAAGCACTCTCATCGATTCGTAAAGACTCCCATTGCGAGATTCGCAGAATCACCCGAGTGCGACGGAGCGCACGAGACGCGAAACGGACGGAGGCAGAATCGGGAATGAGAGCCTTCCACTTCCCTTTGAGGCTTTCCCGTCGACCGATTCAAAGGGAAGGGACGAGCGAGGGGGGGGAGGGGGTCTGCGTGGGAGTGTGGAAAACCGTTTTCTAGGTTTCCACTTTGGGCGGACGGTCCCCCGAACGTCTGACGCAGTGGAGGGGGCAGAATCAACGCTATTCTCGGGCGTCGGCGTGGAAATATTTTTTTAACTTAAAAAATGTATTCACTATTAAGTTCTCATCGGAGATTACTCATGGCTCATGAAATACAGGACTCGTATGACTGCAGCCGCAGAGAGAGAACAGCCTTACCGCTTCCATACCTTATAAAATTCCTACTTCGAAGGGAAAACTACTTTTGCTGTTTCTTTTTTTGCCAGCTAATATCCCATTAAAATATTTTATTTCGCAGCAGACGTGATGAAGCCACCTGTCGTCTTGTTGCGATGGGACTCCCGTAATAATCGTCATGGATTGAACTGCTGAAAGGGAAACTGGTCTATCTGCAAAAAAAAGGGCAGAAAAATGTAAACTTCGTTTCGTGCGCATAGACAGATTCCCTTTCATTCGTGGTAGTTTTGAGGATATATTTAACCTCTTCAGGGATGAATTACTTGAGACAGGATAGTAAGTAATAAAACATTACAGGTGTAGAGTACTTTTCAAACTGGGGAACAGCGATACTAACTGCAGTGAAAACTCCCAAAAATTGGCAACATCTGTGGGACCTGATCTGGTTTTGACCAATTTACGAATTCTTTTGACCAATTTAAGATGCATTGAAGCAAACGCCCACATTTGTGCCAGTGTCTCCGAAGAGGTTAAGGGAAAAACTGGCCACGAAAAGTACTTCGAAGATTTTAGGCTGAGGAATGCTGATCATTAGCAATGTTTTAAAATTGGTTAGGTTAGGTTAGTGGACCTTTGTAAAGGACAAAGGTCCACAGGCTAGCCCCGCCAGTATGGATCTTCGGTGGGACCACCTCGGAAATCTGACCGCTTGCCAAGCCGACGGTCGAGGTCTGGGATCGACACGGCTTCGATTGCTGGTGACTGGCAGGCCAAAATGAAAAAAAAAAGAAGGAAAAAGTGAAGATTTGAAAGTGTGCCTTCTTCAACTGCGAGATGTCAGGCGACTGCGACAGGGCCACTCCACATTCTCTTATTTCAAAAGCAAATACAGTATTCTTGGGCAGAATAAAATAGGTTGCTTCATTAGCAATCATCTAGCGGAATATGAGTTGAATCAAATTGGTTACTTGAGCAAGACAAATTGCAAAAGTTTCTCGTTTCTTCAGCGCCTAGGCAGTACGAACCAGACATTTTCTGTTCTACTATAGAGAAATGAAGCTGAAACAAAAGATTCTCTTTTTCATAGCAGTCTGGAAAACATGAGGGCAAGAGTCCCTCTTCTTTTCTTGCTCAATGCAATGCACCAAAAAAAGGCACAAAAGGAAAAATGCAATGAAGGATGGAGTGAATGGGTAGTCATGATCATATCTGCCATGGAAACATCACAGCTGGGGCATCACAGAAACATCATTAGCCATCACCAGCAAAGGGAATCCCTGTGATTCAAAATCTAATAAATATTCTGAGAAAAAAACAATCACTTTTTTTCACACGACTCCCATACATTGGCATATTGCTGAAAACACCAGCAGCATTGAGTCATATGGAAGACTGTGGGAGGATCCTCTTCAATTAAGGAGGATGAAAAATAAAAATATAAAAGAGGAAGCCTAAAGGGTAGAGAATCGTCCCTTCGGCCTCCATATACCCGAGGAACCCTCGGGAAAATTGCCCACAGAATTTCTCTGCAGCGCCTTCTGCGACCCGGACACGTGGCAAATGGAGCCCACCTCCTCCTTTAACCTTCTATTCCCTTTCACGGAGAGGACAACCCCAACCGATCTAGTTGCCTTGGATTCATGAAATCTCCTGGCGAGCTCAAGTAGACGATGCCTGTGGACCCGGGCGACGGCCGGGCCCTCTCCGACGCTCTCGGACGTCGTCTCCGTCTCCTCCGCGTGCTCGGCAAGAGCCCCATCGGGCGTCGTCGCTCCCTGTGGCTTTTTCGGCTGCAAGGGAATTAAGTTCCTTCAACACGTGGCAAATGAAGCACTAATATCCAAGTCATACAAGGATATCTTTCTTTTCCCTTCAATTGCAGGACAGACACTGCAGTGACAATAAAGTATGGAGCTAATCAACATTTGTTCTTCTGCTGAAACTCTACCCCATCTCCTAAATTTAGCCAGGCAAAGCTCTTCTGAATGAATCATTATTATTTCCAGGTTGCAAGAGAGAGTACAATAGCAGCACTATATCGGCGACCACCAGAATGGGCAACCAACTAGCTGCACCAATGACCATCAACAACTTCACAAAGAGAAACAAATGCATGTATGAATGTGGCTTGGTGCCTGACATTGCATCTTCCAAGCTAACGACCGAAACTTATTTTTTTCAGGGAACATGTCCTTCTCATCCCCTCCCAGGTAAACTTTTTCAAGTACATACCATGTTGGTACATACCAAGTACATACCAGAAAATGTTGGCTTAAGCTACATCTAGTGAGTTCCCCCCAAAAATTTAAGCATAAGCAGTGGGGAAAGTGTTGAAAACGTATGGTATGAGAATGTATAATGACACACTATCAGCACAGTCACTGATGGCAGTGAATGGGTGACATTATAAGTGCCCATCAGTCCACCCACAGAAAATAATCACAAGGCAGCAACTGACCGAGTTAAGGTTGCAGATGCAAACAGGTGGCAATTTCTTGTGGTCATCTGGAAAAGGAGAACAGAGCAACCTGAAGGATACAGTGAGGATGGCCTGTACAGAGGTTATCCCTATGATTATAATCAATTCTATATTGTTAAAAGTCATGAACATCACTGTTTGACTCAACAGTAATGAGACTCAGAATGTCCATTTGAACTTTATTTAACAAAACAAAGATACTGTGACAGGAGCTCGTTGAATTTCAAGGGTGCATGCCAGTTGGTGGGATGGTCCAGTTAAGCTACTGCCTTTAGCCCTGCTCAGCAGTGCAGTGCATCAGCATGGCACATTTGAAAATACACAGACATGCTGGCAACAATCCCTGGCCAGGATGGGATCCAGCTGTCATTGGAATCCTTCATTGATAGACTTCTTTTAGGGAAAAGGGTTCAAGTCCTATCATGGTAAATACATTTTGGATTTACTCAATGATGCCTCTGAGGACTAACTGCCACTAGAAAAACCAAAACAGAGAATGCTAATGCCATTTTGTTGCCTCCTTTGTAACCACTTTCACGCCTAAAACATCCAACAATTTCAAATCAATATCATCCTCAAATTTCTCTAAAGAGTCCTGAACAAGAGCAGAGACAGCAGCTCTCAACATTCCCAATTCCATCCTGAAGTCAGATTAAAAATGCATAGCACCAAAGAAAAACTCAGCCTACAAGAGAGGTGCCCTTCAAAACTCACAAGATTTTCTCATAGCTGTCTGACCAGCTCATAGCAAATGCACTTGCATGTGAGTACAAGCATACAAGTAAAATCACAGCACCTTCAACCTTGATCCTGTGCACTTAGTCTTTGCAGGACATTCAAACCATGTTTTATAAGAACTTGACCTCTCTAATGTCTGATACAACTTTCCAGGGGTTTTACAGCTCATTGTTCATACTTACTTGTACTAAGTTGAGCAACATGATGAACATCTCCGGATGATGAAGCATCCTGAAAAATAAAATAAAAAGAATATCGAGTACTGATGCTGTGTGGCTCTCCTTAACATGGTCACAGCAGCACAATTCTCTTTCTTTCCGAATAATGTCGATAGGCAGTTTTGCAACATGAAATGGTATGAATAGACATGAAAAAACAATTGCAGGCTACATGAGACAGACTTAACAAGCAACACTTTAAAAATAAAATTACATATTACTTTCATGTTCTGTCTTAAAGTCTCTATTCTTATGTTTAACATAGATGAGGAGAATGGAATACAAACAGGAGAGCAGATCTGTGCGATGCCAGAATGGAGATGCCCCAGTGCACCCAGTGCCTCGTGGAACAGCTGCTTCTGCTCCACAATGGGTTTCACCAGCGACTCCATCAAGTTCAACATCTCTCCCAGTCGCTTCTCCTGCTGCTCCTTGAAGTCGTAGAATGGCCTGCAAGCGTGCAAAAACAAATCAAGCTTCTGGAGCCTCACAATAAAGGGGTTGTGAGCCAAGAGGAGCACTTACAAAAGCTGCAATTCCTGAATGTAAGCTACATTAGCCAAGGCCAGCAAGTTCCTGCGGACACTGAAGCTGTGAAACGAGAACAAATGCCTTTTCCCACTCTGGTAAAACAGCAAAATTACATCCAGCCAAAGGAAAACGACTCACTGGACTTTCTTGATTCTCCGCATCAGTTCCCCGTGCAAGACCTTCATGCGCATCTCAGCCAGTTTTAGCTTCTCCTGAAGCTGCTGGATCTTGTGTTTCTGGTCCCAGATCTCAGTGCCAAGGTCCTCATTCTGGAGGGAGACAGAAGCCACTCATCACGTTCACAAAAATTATACTTCAGCTGAACAGTTTGACGAGACGGAGGCAAGGTCATGAGTAAAGCATGCAGAGTCAAGGATTTCCTTTCATCTGTCAAAAGCATAGCCTCCATCTGCAATTCTGCAGATATATCACCCAAACTGGTATTCAGTTGATCTAAAAAACTAACATGCCTGATGAAGAAGCTGATATGCTTTATATCCAGGGTTCTCAAATAGGAAGCAACTGATCATCAGTTCAAAAGGACATTGCATTACTTCAAAATGGATCCAGCATATCATTTTTAAATCAGATGCTAATTATTATTCTCTTCTCATGAAAATGCAAGCTTTCTGTCTAAGCAGAGAAATTCTTGACATAACAGAGTCTATCACTGCACAAGATCTCAGATCAAGGCATATAAGGTCTACAGTCTTTAAGATCAGGAGGATGGCTATAAGGTAGGAGCAATGATGATGATAATGCATAAAGTCTGCAACAAAAAAAAGAAAAGTGAAAGATCATGCACAGGAGAGACATGTCACCTCATGTTTCTTGCATGAGAGGATGGCCAGGGATGCCATATGGGTACTGCTGGGTGTTCCCATCCTCCTTCCCTTTATTTTGTGCATCACCCCTTGCACCAGGTTCACCTCTTTGTCCACCACCTGCTTCTCCTTCTCTGCCTGCTCCTGTACCTGCTACTCAAAAGAATCAGATCACATGATGCTATTATCCACTCCTCACTAGAAAAGGCTGCACTGCAGCCCTTCACAATGACATGGACAAATCAGTGGCACAGTCAGGATTTTGTCCAAAGGGAGCTAGGGGGAATGGAGAGGGGAGCTAGAATTATCAAACTCTCAGCAACAGGGGGAGGGAAGGTTGATGGATGCATTTTGACCATAGTTGGGGAGGGAGACTTGGGTCATGCTGAAATAGAACTTGAAAGGAAATCAAGGTTTAAACCAGTGGTGCACAACCTTTTCCCCCTAGAGGGCCAAATTGAGACTTCACCTCATGTTCAAGGGCCTGCGGCCTTCGAATATGAACTGAAATCAGTCCGCATATTAACATGGATCTTTAGATACCGGAGGCATCCAAAGGGCCGCAAAAAAGGTCTCAGCGGGCCGTGAGTTGTGCATCACAGGTCTAAACCGTGTCAAATTTAAACAATACTTCTTTCCCATCTTCACTCCCCTGGAGGAATCTCAACTCAAGTGACAGTTCAAGAAATGAACCACACAATAAAAACAGTTTCCCATGAAAAAGAAAACTTTAACTGAAGTCTGAGATTATCTTATTCCAGAAAAGAGCATGCAGATCTCAATGGGGAAAAAACTTGGCGCTGAAAAAGACACAGTGAGAGCCATGGTAAATGCTAATCACAAAAATGAGAAAAAGTTGTTCTATTTGCAATTATTTTCAGAATGCTGATGGAGTACCACTTGGATAGACTTAGGTCTACAGTTCACCAAATAAAAAAGTCAAGCTGATATTTGCTGAAACAATACAACCAGCTGCAACTCAGATTGTTCTGCTTGTACAACCTTGCTCACCTGGGAGATGAGACATTTGGAGTCAAAACAAGGTTTATCCTGGACAAGGTGGAAGCTGATTTGATTTGCCATGAAATGGAGCTTCCCAGATGTCTCCTTCATTGCTTCATCATACAACTTCCTCTCTTTCTGTTTTACAGAAGAAAACACAATCTTCATAATCAAATCCATATTCGTAATCAAATGCAAGTGGCTTGAAATAGGTTTCCTTAATGTTTCTTCAAACAGGCTAAAAAAAAATAATTTTAAGCAGAGTTTATGATATTATCTGGGCTAACTTAGCTCAGTAGCAAGCCTTTTTTTTTTTTTTTTTTTTTTTTTTTAGAGAGAGTAATGGTTCCAAGGCACAAAACAAAATTATACATAAGTGGGGAAAGGGGACAGCAGTACATGAGAGATTGCCTGGAGAACATGGGTTCTCACTGCTGGGTCATGATGTAAGCATGAATCATACTGCAATGGTCTGAGTAGCCTGAAGGGTGCCAAGAGGCACTTTTGCACATTTTTGAGAACCTTAACTTGGGTGTCAAACTGAAAAAATTCCTCTCATACACCAAACCAAACACTTTGAACCATGAACCCTGAGTCATGCCTTGAGTCACAGCAGAATAGGCTCTGTGTGGAATGGCTGGAGCAATGGAGGGACTGGGACAACCAATTGAGATCCCCTTGAGTGGGGATCTCCTTTGGTTCACTTGCCTTCCTTCACTATAATAGCTTCTACAACACAAATTCATTTTTTGGTAAATTTATTTGCTGACATGTTCATGAAATCAGGTAAAGTATACCACAAAGAAGTTTAAAGAAATGGTAAAAAATATATACCAAAGTTTGGAGAAATAATATCTGCAAGCACTGACATCCTGCACAGAGTGAGCCAAGTTCATAAGGAAGCAGAGCAGGTGTTAAAAAAAACATGCACTGATTGTCCCATCCCCACTGTGTACATACACTGTAACCACAATTGGCACTGTTGGTGTCCTAAGATAAATCAGAATGCGCTCAACTTCACTGTCATACATAGATAAGAGATAAGGATAGAGTGAGACAGGCATCACTCACATTGAATGCTGTCTCCATCTTTTGAATGTCCTCCATGGCCTCGTTCACATGCTCCAGGTGAGCCTAGAACATACAGGGGATAGCAACTTCAAATTCATCCAAACCCACTAAGTAATAGTTGATGATATGTTGGTGCACCACTTGATGTTTTAATGCTGAGTTAGATTAGCAATATAAAAAAATATAGCTTGCTATCATAGTTATGATATTTCTTGGATAGAAATTTCTTGCAGAGACAAAGAATGCAGGTGCCTTTTAAATGAAACCACACTTAATGAGAATTTAATTTCAAGCTCAAAATCAAATCTCAATCATTCAAAATATCAATACATTTTTGACATGCAAAATTTCCAGAGGCCACACAAATTAATTTTATATGATCAAAGTCAAACTTAGATATTTTCAACACATAATGCAAGAAATGTCATAACAGATTTTCAATAATGGCCTACATGCTTCAAAAATTTACAATAAGTGGCTTTAAAATTTGATATAGTGAATATGTTATAATCACAACTAATGTAAGATTCAGACCCACTAGTAGCATGAGTGTCTAGTCATAGTTTGTTTGACTGCATTTTTAGAACGTGTGAAGATGAAGATTTAGTAGATTAACTGACAAGAGGGCTGATATTTCAATGCTTTTGGAATGGAATTTCAGCATTTTTGGAATATTAGAAAGGTAAGTCAAACTAAAGAGAAAACATCATTCAAGAATGAAATTGAGCTTCAGTGTGAACTTAATCTGCTCCTTAGAAAGCTTTACACCACTCTGAGCAGGTAACACTGACAATGTGGCAAGACGTGAATTGCCTTTCCACTCTTTTGGCTCGACAAAGCTGCTTTTGACATTCATCAGTTTGTTCAAATGACATAGTCATCAGTGATGATTAGGTCTACCCAGGGAAGATGGTACTTGAAAGTAAAGAGAACAAGGGGCATGCCTCAACCAGCTGCTTGAATTGAAATAGGCAAGCCAAGCCATTCCAGGATTGGTTACTAAGCCAGGGAGACAAAAGCATGAGTGTTAAATGGATTACAACCTTGTCCAACAGACAAAGTCCTAACACCAGCAATCATACCTGTACCAGTATAACACCTTTACTAAATTTCTCCAATAGTCAATAAACAGGATGTAACCCTTACACTCCTTCATTGCTTGCAGTAATGCATTCAAGTTGATTTCTCTAGGTTGTCCATCCATCCATAGGGATACATCCTCTTTCTACTGATGAAATACTGTACTTACCAATACAACATATATTCAAGAAGTGGTACTCAAAGTGGGGACCACCAAAACATCACATGCCTCTATGAATCTTAAATAACTCACTCTGACACCCTGAAGACACCTGTCTTCTCTCGAACTCAGCAGAAGCCTACTTGGGTTGGGTGGAATCTTTGCTGGAAGTTTGCACTTCCATGGCTGCTCCCCCTCCATGCTGGATGAGAGCTGCAGACTGTGAAGGCTATTCCCATTCCCAGTCACATCATCCAGAGGCTTTGGCAGATGTGACTTGCTCATGAAAAGCCCTTCCTTTTCTTTTCTTCACCTCACACAGCCATCTGAGTGAGGAATGGAGAAGAACGTTTCTTCTTGCACTGGAAGATATCTTGGAAGCCATGCATGAAACATCATATTGACTAACCAAAGAGTAGCTTCATGCAGCACACTTCTGATTTAAAGTAAGCTCAAGTAAACCACTTCATGTCGAGCATCAAACACAGACTCATGTACTTCACACATGCCAGAGGCTGTACTTCTTTGTCTATCTATTGTCTTAATTTCATTAAACATGGATATTTTTTACTAAAATAATTTTCAGGAAACAGCCAGCTACATTTCTGGTATATTTAATGATGTTATCATTATCATAATAGGAGCCCCTCCCATGAACACTTCTTTAGCCCTTTTGCTCCAATTGTTACATTTTATCACCTAGCCATACATGCTCCAGCATGCATGTGTAAAAATTCCATGGTGAAAGAGTTAATGAAACTATTGGACTTTTACCACTGGAATAACTTTCATTTCATGCAAGTCAAAAATGGCCAAAGTATTTTTGGGGAAACCAGTCTTGCCATCACATGACTCCAGGGAGATACAAAGCCTGAGAGCAAAATCTGGGAGCCATCCCCCAAAAATGTCTCCTGTTTGAGACATCTCAGCTCATAGGATCAAAATGAATTTTGCAAGTTAATTCAAGAGGAAATAAAACTTTGAGCATCCCAATCATTAACAGCATGCATCAGCATCACAATCCTCAGGTTGCACTGCCACAGCTTCATGCCTAGAGCAACCATGCATGCCTTCAATGATGAATTCTGAGACAAAAATTCAAAACCATGCATTTATTTGGAATCCGAGATGGCGGAAGTTGAAGCGTTGGAATCAGGACTCAGAGGTGTGCAGAAATCCAGGATTCTCTTCGTGGCTTTCTCTGCCCTGTGGCTCACGCTTGGCTGCAAGTTTCCAGGCTGCGTAACAGACCATGCAGGGATGCATCATGCAAAGCAAGCCTCGCAACATAGTAATGAACCAACACACAGGGAGCATCAACTGATGCAATTTTGAAGCCAGACACAATACAATCTTTCATTCTCAAAATGTCCTCAACTCCAGTTTCACAAATGAGTTCTTGAATATCACATGACAAAGTTCTTTTCCAAAAAAAAAAAAACAGGCCCCCTTAGCATACTTGATCAAAATCTAATACTTTAATTGAAAGAAGCTGAAAGTTGTGACAGTTGTCACCTCTAACACGCAAGGCCTACGATGCTATGCCATTCTAGGCCATAAAAATGTTGGTATGCTTTAATCTTTCACTTTCGATCTTCTCTAGGCTTGTTTGAAAATGTTTCATGTTTGGCTTGAACCAAAGTACTTCATATCTTTATGTAAACATTTCCTAATTCCTGTCTAATAGATGGCCAGTGTAAAGGCCGCTAGTTCCTATTTAAACTGACCATTCCTCTATTTTATTCAAATGATCAGGTATATCTGCCAAGCTCATAGTTATGGCATAAGGCATAGGTATCCCAGCATGACAAATAGGAGCAGCAAAGGTATTTTGGATTGGATTTTTATTATGTTGTGATCATGAGAGCACATGCTGCATCCATTGATCAAAAAGAAAATTTAAAATGGCAGGCCAGTTAAATTGAAATTAGGAAAGATATTGTCTGCAATGAACAGGATGTTCTAGTTCATTCCCATCCATGCATAATTTGGTTAGTAATTTGCATTCCATGAAATTATTGAATTAGCATAATGAGTTGTACTAATAATTTAGGGATAATAAAAAAGTCTGGCAAAGAAATCTTGCCTAAAACTGCACCATTCATATAGATTGGTATTTTTGGACATAATTAGTTCCTTGGGAGATTCTCACATACTCTGCAATGAGTTTCTAGGTAACCTTATCAATCTTCCTCCTAAAACTGACATAATAAAACTGACAAGTTCTTTCTGATTAACTCTTGAATTCCTGGCATGGTCATTTGAGTTTGAACATGCAATCAGCAGTAGCAAAATCTTTTTCAAGTGTGGTCATAAGGAACTCACAGGGCTGATGCTGAAGCAACAGGCTGAAGGGAGTCTTTGACGGTCTTCCTCTGGAATATAAGAGCAAAGAGACTTCTACTTGCAGAAGGGAAAACTATTCCCCACATCTAAATATTAGAAAATTCTGGTCATTGGCCCACTAAAAAATTTGCATTTCTCTGATGCTTCCAGAAATGGAAGTGATGTACCGTGACTGCAAGAGATACCTCTACAGGACATTATCAAGACCAGAGCTGTCAGCATGGTAGTTTTGAAGATGATCATGTATATGAACCTGATTCATACAAAATGATGCATCAATACAGAGGAAAGATAAGGAATTCCACCATCAGTGACTAATGTGAACACAGAAGAAGAAGAATTTGCTTGGGCGATGATTTATGGCCATTTGAAAAGTCCTCTATAGTGTTGGAGATTATGTAAGGAAAATATGCTAAGAAAAAAGGCAAACAAAATTACTTATTTAAAGGTCGAGTCTGGTCAGTCTTCTTTTCTGCAGTCATAATAGCTCTGCAGAATTCTTCTTTACAGTACCAGTGCCTCTTATTTGTGCATATATCCAACACCAATCATGTTGCTTTGCATTGTGCCATGGAATTTCTGCATGGTTGAAAAGTGGTGCAAGTAAAAACTGCATGAAAAAAATGAAGAAGCTAGGCTACAATTTTCAGAAATCTTCCCATTAACTTAAAACCGAAATATTAAGAGAGGTTCAGTATCAAGTTCAAATATTGAGAGAATATGCAAGGACTATGCCCAGAGTAAAAAGACCTTGATGATAATTTGATCCCAGCAGTGAAAGTACACTGACCGCAGCACAGAAAATAATGGAATCCATTCAAAAAAGATGAGTCAGCTAGACACCATGGCATGACACAAGAAGAATTTCAATCCAAAACTATGGGAGTAAAGAACTCACCAAGGTCAAATCGTTTGAAATGCTGACCAAACGACTCCGGAGACTGAGATTCCTGAAAAAATCTGTCCATGAGTTCTTTTGCCACTCTGATTTTTGTTTTTAAGTGATGGACTTCTGTTTGACTCACAGATCCTTTAATGCACTCAATTTTGAGATGGAGGATCTCGAGGGCATGCAGGGCTACATTGAAGTTATGCTTCTGATCCCTCATCTGCTCCATCAGGCTCTCCATGCATGACAGCATCTCATTCAACTTGGACTCATAGTGAATCTTCTTGTCATAGAATGGCCTAAGACATCACATTCCACCACGTTACAACATTTATCATCTCTTACTCTTTTCTGTATGTCAAAAATTTAATTGAAATTCCTTTCATCAACATCTATGGACCACATTTCAGACTTCCTTGATCTTGAATTTTCCAATTCAGAGAACATATCCTTCAAATGGGTGTTAGCAAAATATTTCTAAGACCTAATGTCACATCTCAAAAATCAAAAGGAAAAAAAAAACAGGTAGTATGAGTGCTTTAGTAATTTTTTTTACCCACCCTGAAGAATTTTGACCTATGGATTGAGAAGAAGTAGAATTTTTGCTCTCACTGAGCTTTCTGAACGTGCTTGATGAGGTCACCGTGGAGGATGGCAAGCTGGATCTCAGCAGCTTGAGTTCTGGCCTGTAACTGCTCTTTGTGCTCCCTCAGAAGCCTCTCCTGCTCCAACAATGTCTCATACTGGAATTCCACAAGAAGCAGCACTCACTGATAAGGGTTCTGAGTTCAACCACAACTTTTAATCATTATTAACCATTGCCTTCCAAGTTGAACTGGTTACTGTTGCCCTAGCCTTCAATAGTTCTTGCCACAAGAAAAATAAAAAAGGTATCAGATGGATGCAGGATATATAAAACTTGATGCAGTCTCAGAAAAATCTTATCTAGGCCAACACAGCAATTATAAATAAAAATGATCATCCAGCACAATTTGAGCTCACCAGCAGATAGTAGCATTTTGAATAACTCATGTAACTTACTCAATAAACAGTAAGCATTTGAAAAAAAAATACAGACTACATACACTTAATTCAAATCAATGCTTCCTATTAATGCATCATGATCAGCTTGAGAGCTGGCATTCAAGATATAAAAAAAAAGGCTGGCAAAGAAAAAGGGGAAAAAGTGTGGAGAAAAATGGTACCTCTCTCTTTTTCTGACTAATGATCAGCTTGCAGGTCCTCCTGTCCTGAGCCTGCTTCCCATCCTTCCACTTTTTCAGGTCCTTTATCACTATGTGGAGGATCGATGCCCCTTCCTTCGCCGACTGATGCTCCGCTGACACCTCCATAAGTGCCTCCTGCAGCTGCAAGCACAAAGCCAGCTATACACACAGCTCCATGAAAACAAAAGTTTTCAGTCCCTATAATCATTGAATTGACATTTATGACCAATCAAAACTGTTTCATGCTGACAAAAACTCAATTATGACACTTTTATTAAGGCCCAGACTTAAGTTCCCCCTAAAATCACAAATGGTGATAAATATGCTTTGTTTTGGACTAGTGGTTCCTGAAATATTTACTAGAAGCAATAGAACACATAATTTTGACTACAAATATCATATCAAGTATTAATGCCAAGAACTTTCAATATTTTGCTGTTTTGCTGGTTTTTCAAGCAAATAAGAAAGGTCAGGAGAAGCAGACTTTAGTGTACTCTATACTTGGGAAGTAGAGTTATAATGATAGCATAGGCATATCCAAAGGCAAAGGTAAACCCAAGAATGGCCACTGTCTTAAAGCAACTACATCCCTTAATTGATCTTACTCCCTGCAGCTTTCCTTCAAATCATATGGTTACAATCATCCACACCATGTATTGTAGGGGACAGAAACCAGTTAGGGACAACACTGCTCACCTTTTGAATTTTGGCAAGGGATTGAAAATATGGCTGAGCTTCGAGAAGGCTCACATTAAGCTGCATGGCAAGGGTTTGCAGTTTTGCACATGCCTCCTTCATCAGTGTCTCATGTGATTCCCTCAGCTCCTGCCACAGAACATTGATTAAAATAGATCAGTCAACACAAGTCAAATACAAGTGTTCAAGAAAAGTTCATTTGCCCTTTGAAACATGACTCCAAAATCCCCCAAACAAAGCATCATCCACCTTCATTCTTCAGTCAAAAGGAGGCATATGCTCAAAATGAATACAGGAAATGCTGCCATCAAAAGTTTAAACAGAAGAGAGAGTTAACAAATAATGAGAACACTTACAGCAACTTACAGCAAATGCATTCTCCATTTGAGAAATCTTCTCCATGGCATCATTCATGTAATCCAACTGGGTCTGGAATCAATAAAATGCACTTAGGGGATCTCAATAATGCAATCAACACAACATGAAAGGAACACTGGACTTCCCTCGTCCATCATGATTACAACACAGGAACTTTGGTTTCATTAAAGTAAGTAAGTCATGGCATCCATATACAGTCTAACTTTTCATCCTTCATATGGCCATGCTAGCAATATAGAGAGGTATTGCTCAAAAATCTGTGTTGTTTGAAAACAATTTGGATGAGTTAAGCTGAGGAGGGATTCCTTTCACTGCTGAAAAGCTTTACATTCACTCTTCATTAAGGAATGAAGTGAGAAAGAGGTTATCAAGAATCAAACCCAGAATTAAAACAGAAATCCTATTTCAAGTACATTCTGGTCTACTTAGAAAGATTTACATGGAAACATGCCGTTCCACAACCAGTCCTTGTAGGTAAAAATCTCTTTAAAGAGGTTATCGAGAAAAACTGAATTTAGCAGCAAACCAACTCAGGCACAAAGAATGAAGAAATTTCTAGATTGAACTTTTACCTTAACATCCATCAGAAGTTGCTTGTGTTTATCGCCTTCGCTCTTGACTGATGATGATCTGGTGGCAGCAGTTAAAGCTTTACTTGCCTTAGGACTCAGCTTTTGAGATGTTGCAACTTTGGGACTTTCCTTGGATGAAACCCTTGAGTCTGACGGAGACTTGGAGATCTGGCACGGAAAGAGTCTGGAAACCTGGGGATCGGACTGGACCCTTGAAACCTTTGAACTGACAGAGGAAAAACTAGAAGAGCTGCTGCTGCTATAGGATGGCTGAGGCCTGGGTGAGGGCTTGCCCTTGACCCAACTCGACCTCCAGCCCGGCTTTCCCTTGGGAATGACATGGACCTGGAGTACAGGAGAATCCTGTTCTGATTCAGAGTCACTCCTGGCCTCGATGGCAAACACTGGACCTGGCACTGGGTATCCAACACCAGGCAAGGAGCGGCGGGTCTGCCTTTTGTTTGCCGTCAGAACTGAACTTCTGAAGGACTTTACACAATTTGACTGCTTCTACAACACAAGATACAACACAGTAGCAAAGATTGTTCTGTAAAAATCATATCAGTGTAGACATAATTCCCTTCATTCAAGTTCACCCCATGTAATCATGTTTCTTATTACAACTTCCTTCTATGCTCAGATCATTAGTTGCTTTGGATTAGACCTCTATCACTCTTGACTGCAAAGCAAAGTGAATCTGTGTGTCCTTTCAATGAAATTTAGGAAGCCAAGGATTCTATCCAACAATTATGGTGTCAGTGCTTCACTAAAGCAAAATTTTCTTTGTTTCCAGTTACTGTAAAGTTATTGTCAAGATCTCCCATTAAAAACATTAAATTAGAGCTTTGGCACACATATCCACATGAAACTTTGCAGCAATCAACTGCATATATTTCCAGCAACAATAGGAAACAAAGTGACAGGCGATGAGAGATTATGGACACAAAACTATCACCTTGGTTTCTTTCATGAAGGTCCACCAAAAATGAGCAATGGCATCTTGGGGGATGATCAACCATTGACCAAGTAATTGAATAGAGTATAAAAATAATAAAATCCTGAGCAAGGACATGGGTATGGGCTTACAGTAAGAGGGAATTCTAATGAATGAAGACCAAGATCCAGGGACTTTCAAATACCAGGATAAGCAATTGCATGTAAAGGACAGAACACCCATGGAAAGCTGGCAGCAAGCCTGCTTGCACTCATTTGGAGTGCTGTGATCCCAAGCTTCTCAAAGTGAAAAAAAAAGGGGTCCACATCCCTTTAAAATCACTTAACATCTCCAGGATTTAAAAGAGAGTATTAAACAAGTCTTCACGAGGCCTTAACATCTTAATTATACTGTGATGCAGGCAAGACCATACTTGTGAACCCTCAGAAGAAAAAGGTAGGTAAGTCAGTTTACACCTAATTGGCTCAGATGATGCCATTCATTACAAACATCCAATAAAGTGAAACAACAAGCAATTGTAACAATGAGCAATTGGAACATACATATTTCTGAGTTCATTCCAATATCATTCAATATCATAAGCAAGCTTACCTCCCTTCCCTGTTTTGCACTTCCAAGACTTCAAATCAGAAAGCATAGTTTTCTTCCATCGACATAATAACAAACTCAATATGAGATATTATGTATGAGATATTATGTATCATGACTGCATGAAAGCATATTGGTTAGCCTTCGAACAACAAGCTAGTGCTTCCAGGTGATCATCATCCAATGCTGTTCCAATACAACTAAGCTCCAGTTAAACTGTTGCATAAGTCAAACATTGTATTCCTGAGATCAATATAAAATGAGAAGGGACATTTAAAAAGCAAACCTAAACCAATGAATGTCCAGTGGGCATCAACTCTCTTCTCGAGGAGCATATCCTAGTGCATATGGATGCTTCCCCCTATCACCAAGCTTCTGCCCATGGGGAATTTTGTCAAAGTAGGGGTGTCTGAGAGCCTCCGACAAGGTGATGCGCTTTTCAGGATCACACTCCAACATCTGACGGATGAGATCAAACAGCATCCTGGTGTCGTTGTCGTCCTTCTTCCGGTATTCAAGCAACGGTCGACAGTGCTTGCGCACGTGCCGCGCTCGGCTCGAGTGTCTGTCCAGGTCTAATCTTCCATGGGAATAGTATTTAGTCCTTGTTTTGCGAGTCATACTAGATGGAAGAGGGCTCAAAACACGTTCCATCATTGCCAGATGTTCACGGTTGTCATGCGTCTCGAAGAGCATCGCTCCAGAATACAACTCAAAGACGATGCAACCAATGCTCCACACATCACATGGCTGAGACCAGCCCAATTCAAGAATCACTTCAGGAGCACGGTAATGTCTTGTAGAAACCACAGTGCTGTGATGATCGTCGTCGAACGTTGCACTGCCAAAATCGATCAGCTTCACATCGGTATTCTTCACATGCCTATAATCACACTTCTCATCTGGATCATATGAGATCTCAAAGTCAGAATCAACAAAAAGGATGTTCTCTGGCTTCAAGTCTGTGTGTGTGAGCTGGTTCTCATGTAAGAAGTTTGTAGCATAACACACTTGATAAGCTATGTGTCTGACCTGTTCCATTGGATATGCCTGGTAGTGATTATCCCTTAAGTAATCAAAGACAGACAAGCCAAGCATCTCAAAGACAAGGCAGATGTGTCCATGGAAATCAAACCAGTCAAACATTTTCACAAAAAGATGTCTTCCATTGGGGTCTCTCTGCATCAGGGTTTCCAGGACCTCAATCTCAATTTTTGCAGCTTCTCGATATTTTGCAACATTTTTGATGATCTTCACAGCAAGTTTGTGATCCCTCTTGAGGTCCTTCACACAGACGACTCGTCCGAATGTGCCTTCCCCGAGAGTAGACAGAATCTGGTACCTTCCGATCAAAACATCTCCTACTTGGTAAACGAGATGCCCATTTTCATCATCCTGGATAGACCAATCGTGTTTTCCCTCTCGGGCCCTCGAGTCCAGAGAATGCTTCCCATCACCATGGAGATAATGGGAGCCACTGCCGTGATGCCTGTAATGCCTCTCATTGTTCCTGAAAAGGGATTGTGATTGACTGTACCGGTACTTGAAATATTGTTTGTCATTGTATGAATCAAAATCCCCCGGATCTGGTGACTTGATACTCTGTGGCATGCAGAACAATCCATACCGATAGCGCTTCCTTTTTCCAGCAGAGCTGTACAAATCTGGACTCCACGAATTGCGTCGTTTTGGCATTCTCCCTGCAAGATTCTCTTCTGTCCTTGGGAATCACCTCCACAGCAATACCAGTTTTACTCCACAGGAATACCAACCTCTAAGATCCACTAAAGCTCCACCCTCACTCCACCAATCATTACTCCAGGTGCAGCATTCACAGGAAAAAAGTCAGAGTGAATATCTGGAAGAAGACAAAGAAAGAAAAAAAACCCCCAAACATGGATTGGATATTCATCTGGAGTTTATTCTGAAACTCCTTCCACTACAAATTTCACAATGAATTTTCAGCCTGGAGGCCAAGACATCTGTCTCCCTCCAAGAACATGAACATGCAGATGATAAACTTCTTGTCCTCCATCTGGCCCATCGTTGATGACAACTCGATAGCCATTAGTAAGCTTGAGGTCATTTGCAACTTTTCTTGCCACTATCAGCAGGTGACCCAGGACCTAACAGATATATGGCAAGTTAAAATTATTTCTATTCCAGGTGCAATGTTCCAGATGTTCCAGTCAGAACTTCAGTACTGCAGTTCTGCAGCAAACAAGGCTGTTTGCTAATGGAAAAAAATATGGCAAAAAAACTGAGAAAGCATTGCAACATCTCTTTGACTTCAAACCTGGGTCATATATATTACTAGGTCAAATGCAATACTGCAGTTTTCCACATCCCATTAGGGGCAAGCTGCTTTCTGGATTTAAGTTTGAAACAGTTCTGTGCTGGAATAGCATATGCATGATCCTGAAATTATTTTGTCACTCCAAGCACAAAAAATATACAGATCAAGTAAATTCAGAGTATCAAACTGTTTATGCACAAAAAATCTACCCTGACTCACAAAACCCTATCATGCAAGGGGCACCAACACACACTCACTCTCGGGGGTGGGGATTGCTTTAGTTCTGTATTGATGCACCCAAAATAGGCCCCCTAAGACATGCTTTTCTTTCTCAACCCTTCTGCTGCTATTGACAAGTATACTTGTTGCATTTCTCAATAGAGCTACAAGAACTCAACTTCGAAAGGATTAAAGACCAAACACAGAGAAATGGAGTGCCCATCTGGCATAGATGCTACAACCAATCACAGTCCCACAGGCAGTGATGTTCCTTCACTGTCCATAAGAGGCCTTAGGGATAGGTCATAAGCTGTCTAGGCCTGCAATGGGCAAGAGTGATTTTTTCAATATACTGGAGTCACACCTCTAATATGACTTCACATAGATTGACATTTTACTCCAATGATCCCAGTTCTAAGTAGACATTCCCTGGAAGGCAGTTGGGCCATCTTCTAGCAGAGAAGAGTCCACTACCAAGTGGACTCGATCCCATGACACTCAAGGCAAATATGATGGACAAGAATTAAGAGGGATTATGAGGTGACACAACAGAGAAGCACTAGGCATGCTTGAAAACTGAAAGGAACCTCTCCCCCCATTGCTGCAAAGGAAATAATGCAGGCAAGTGGGCAAAGGAGAAAAGTGACATCACTGTTCAATAGTGACTTCCAATTCCTTGCAGTTTCCTCTCATGAACTATCTCATGGAACTCGTTTGCTATCAGAACTCCATACGGAAATGGAATCCCAGCATGGGTTCTTGTGTTCATGCCCGATATGCCTTCATAGAGAAGGGCCTTAGGAGTAAAAATGAAACACGAGCAAAACTCACATTTTCATCTTCTTCAGATGCTTCAGAAACTCTTCGAATGGGTTTTTTTGGTATGACCAGGAAATGTGTTGGGGCCTTGGGACTGATGTCGTGAAAAGCTACACACTGCACAAAAGAAAAGGAATACAATCTTATTTCCAGCAACTAGCACACAAGAAATTAAAGTACAAAAAATTTAAAAAATGATACCTTAGAATAAATATTCCAATTCAGTTTCAGGATAATTATTCATGTTAATTGATGGTACAACCAGATATCTTAAACATTACTAAAGAAATCAACTGTATAACAATGCAATGTAGGCACTAGTTAGTTTTAAATGCTATACCAAATAAATATATTTCTGAAGGCTGTCATAATGGTAGCTTCAAAACCATTCATATACCATAAAAATACACCAGCAATGGGATGATGACAAATTGAGAGACACAACAAAAATTGTCTCTGGCCAAACATTGAGGCTTAGAGCAGCGTCCAGCACGATTCAGTGCTGAAGGCTCAAGAAGGAAGGGACCTAAAGTAGGTGGATAGGAATAAGGATAGCCAAATAAAAGTAACTGGTTGCTGACTATACAATGTCCCTTTCACTTTGGCTTGCTATCAAGCTTCTCTCTGAAGACTTATTTTTTTCATATTGGCTATCTTACTTTGATCATCATTTCTGATGAAGTCCAAGGATGTAACCTGCCACCAATAATTGCAACAAGATTATGCTTGTGCTGCTTTTCTTTGGTTTTGGCCATTTAGAAATAAATCAAAGATCCAAAAGCTATGAATCACATAATTTGTTATTGTCCAGATGGGAAGCCAAATGTCAGGGCTTCCAGTTTCCAACGACAGTAAGCGATCGTCTCCCTGTCCATTTTCTGGTTAATGCTGTGTTACTCAAATCACCCTGAAACTTAAAGAGGACCAGAGTCAGCGGTGCTCAGGAAACTTCGATCGTGCCGAGCAAAGGTCGAGAAAGTGAAGAGAAATGGTTTACTCTTCATAAATATTCAAGTAAATTGGGCCTGAATATTTCCCAAGACAGTGAGAAATATGCACTGAAAGATCCCCACAAAAACACATCTGAATTTTAAAAAAAAAACCAAGCGACAATAAGTTTAGGCTAAAAAAAAATGACTCCAGGCTTAACCTTAGAGACTAGCCAAGTCAGTGAGGATTCCTGCAAAGGTCTCTGACAAACTCCATCAGCAAATTCGATCAAATCCGCATGTCGTCACCTACCGGCTCTCGGATTCTTGGTATGGAATAACCCTTAAGTCGAAACAAATGATCCCGTGAATCACGACGTGGTCTGGATTACGTGTGCAAAAGGGTTAAGTCCGTGATTTCTGTCAAAAATATGACATGGGCTAAGGATAACGAGCAAGTGAATACGGTGAGTCTACCGTATGACATTTCAGACAACTCAGACGTCCGCATCGGCCAATGTTTGAATGACAGTAAAAAAAATAATAAAAAAATGCAAAAAAAAAAAACCGTTGCGGAATTAGCCTAACCCTGCCTCGCATGGCCAGCAGCGCAATATCTTCTTTTTTATCATTAGGTAAATCGTGCAAACGAAGCGACTGCACGAACGCGAGGAAAAGGGGACATTTCAAGGACAAGGACTCACGAGATCGTCTTCGTGGATGAACTGACAAGGAATTTCCCCGCGCAGGATCTTGCCAAAGACGGTGTCCTCGCTAGACGCCGCCATGTTCTCCCTTCGAGGGAGGTTGCGCGACTCGCAGTGAGACGGAAGGTCGTTTCCGTTCCGAACGGCTAAGCCCTACAATGTGCAAATTTCTTGCAAAGTGCAATGGTTCCTCTCTTCGTCCTTTCACGTTCGGAGCCGCCGAGTCAAGAGGAGAAAAAAAAAGGCGCGAAAGTGCTGCTGGAAGTGCGGAATCGACGTCGCAGGAATCCCCCACGGCAGAGCGATTCAAATCCCGGTTATCTCGCAGCCGCTCATTCCACCCTGATAATTCGAATTTTTTTTGCGTGTGTTTTCTCTTCAGTAAATCGGAATGAGCACACGCTCAGACCAGAAGTAACGCTCCTCCCGCGACGCAACGGACACCTAGTGCAATCCTGCTGACTCAACGAGTCTTTTACTTTGTTTTCCGACTTGGCTCAGACGATTTTTCACTCGACTCAGACACTCGTGTGAGAAACATCTCATGCACAGGTGTCTAAGTCGAGTGAAAAATGCATGAAGCTTAGACGTCAGCAGTTCCGGCGCACTATAACGTGTGTGTAAACCAAAACAATAACCTCCGCTTCCCCTTTTGATTTTCTTTCGAGGTGAGCCAACAAATCGGGTTGGTGTATTCACTTCCTGGATTGGAGACGAAGCGAAGTCGAATGGAACGAGGTGTCTCCACTTGTCCCCAAAGTGTGTTCAAGTCGAGTGGAAATTGTCTGACTCGTGCGAAAAACGTACAACCATTAATATATTGATTTTAGAAATGCAAATGGCTTCTTTTTTAAAAATCACTTTTAACGAATTGGTGTTTGAAAATCTGAATGAAAATACTTTCCACTCCCATTCTTCACTGGGCAAGACTGCCTTTCTAATTCATACATTCAGTGCAGTATGAGATCCTATGAGATCTTGAAGACAGCAGGTCCCTCGGATTAAAAAATCACCTCAGGACCCAGAATGAAAAAAAAAAAAAATTTATTCTATGCAGATATACAGAGGAATGGATTTACAAAACAGAAACAAAATGACCGTGCAACTGGGAGGGGCAGAGAAAAGGAAGCAGCTAGGGTAGGGTAGCTGTATATTTCAGGTCTATTCACTAACTTATGCCTGAGGGGGTACAGCGTCAAAATCCTCATAAGCCATTGATATGTTTATCTCCTTTTTTTGATACCGTTAAGAAAAAATCGAGTATAAGGCTCATTTTCATGAACATGCAAAAGAAAGAAATTGGCATTAAAAACCATCAAAAACATCCATCTCCCGATGGGATCCCACATCACAAGCACTAGGGAATTGGGAATGAGATGTTAGTTGCATAACAAAGATTTTTTATTCATGCCTGTCCGACAGAGTAAAACTGGGATTTAAAAATCCCATCAATTAAACCCTTTGTTTCAAGTTCAGCCTTGCTCACAAGGAAGGTGAAGCTGCATGGATCCCCTGAGGCATAATTTAATGGATACAATATGCACACAAGACCGGGTTCCCAGCAGAGAGAGCAACATTCTTTTCAGGGAGGCATAAGCAAAGAGATGAAAATATCTATGCATCTAGGATAGGTGATATTTGTCATTACAAGCAAAAAGGAGTGCAACAAGATGTTTCTGGAAAAAAAAAAGGACAAAGCAATCTCCATGTACAGCCAGATTTCAATCATAGAAGCACAAATGAAACATGTACATTTCTGTGATGAGGATCATCTGGGAAAAAGCAAAACCTCCTCCATCAGTAGCAATTACTCTGATTATATTTAAAGTTGTTTTTGCTACTTTCACTCATCCCTGCCAGGAAAGTAGCAATCCTCCTCCTCTGCCTGGACATCCTGAAGCATTTTTCGAATTTCTTTGATGCCCACATCACGCATGAAGGACTTCATCATCTCCCTAAAGTCCATCGTCCCCATGAGCAGGACAGCCTGGGATTCTCCTACATTCTTCAAGGAATACTCTGTCCCTTTACAAAGGAATAAACATGAGATTGAAACTTGAGAACAATGGCTTCAGCAATATGGGGAACACACATTCACCTGAGATTTTTCTTTCTCTGACTTCGCACCAAAGGAGAAATACTGATTGATGGTTTTGCAATGGTAATTATTCAAAATCTGTATGGCATTCTTTCCACTACCAGACCATAGTTATTGCATCGTCAAGAATCTTATTGAATAAGTAAATGGAGGCACACTCAGAAGGAGCAATCAATAGCTGTACTTCAGTATGCCAAGGGTCCCCAAATGGCCTAAAGCAGCAAGTGCATGGACCCTGAGGTTCTTTAATGTCATTTCACAACCTGTATGTAACAATCTTCTGTCCTTTTCCCCACTTAGCTTTACATTAACCTAACAATTATGCATTTATACATATGTAGATGATCATGTAATTAATATTAATTTCCAGACATCTTCATCCAAAGAGTAAAAAAATTGAAGAACTCAGTGGCATACCATCTGATCAGGAGAGAAATCTGGAGATTTTTCAACATAGAAAGTTTTTAAACTGCATACAAACTTCAAAATCAACATTAATATTTGAAATGCTTACATCTGGGAAGCAAAGCCAGAATCCATGAAAAAAATTGCCAATCCCATATTCATTACTGCATTTTAATCTGAAAGGTGCTGGAGAGTCTGCACCATACATTCATTTACATTGGTGAAAGAAACTAAGAGGACTCTTTACCATGCTTCATGATGACAACATCATTGGGATGCAGAGTGCGAGGCATGTCATTGTTCATGGTGACCTCAACAATTCCAACCTCGACAATTCCAATCTTTGGAATGAAAGAAAAAACATTCATCTATAAAGGTCCTTCATGGCAAAATGGCAAGGATACAATGACACCAATGCAAAGACAGTGGGCAATAGCATATTAGGCATACTAATGACATGGATATTGGAGAACTAGTGATACAAGAGGTAAAAAACAGGCAATAAAGCAAGGAGGGTTCAAGAAACAAGAAGGCAGGAGCTGGCTTCAAGTATCAGGCATGTACTCATGACATAATGTTCTGAATATAGTTAATATTTATTGCATCATCTGCATAAAGCAAAAAACTGTATTAACATGAAGGGACATCCCACAATTTAAAAAAACCTCTCAGCCAGTTTCAATAGCCCTCTAAATGATTACCGTACACAATAAATTTATTTGGTATCTTCAAAAGATAAGGGACAGCAGGTAGACTCACGACAGTATTTCCAGGGCGGATGGGCCGAGGTGGCTTGCTGCAGCCTGGGTTGATGAAGAAGTGGCTGAAGACTACACCATCCAAGGGCCGGAAGTAATTGATCACATATGGATCCCCTTCCTTTGGCTCCCTGCGATCTGGGCCCACTGTCCAAAGTTGTTCTCTTCGTTTCTGACGTTGGTGTTACATGTAAAGTTACGGTAATAATTGACGAGGTCGTTCGGAAAGATAACGAACCTTTTGAATGAAATTGATAAGTTACTCTCTATTACCTATTAAGGTTATTGTCTGTAGCACATGGCTTGATATTCATTGGAAGTAAGATCACATGCCAAATCCTTCACCATGTATAAAAAGTAAGAGGATTTCAATTTATACATTGCCAAGGTAACATACTTACTTCCAAGTAAAAGGCAACACCAAGTGGGTAATTAATTTATCTTGATATAATTTGGCAGGCAAGCTTGTAGCAGTGTCATGAAACCAATTATAGGTTCAAGAGTGTTTGGAAAAAATTCTCAAGGAAAACCTGCCAAACACTTCAATCTGAATGGGGGCAAGAGGGAGAGGTTGTACTAATCACACAAAAGTGATATTCAGATGAAACATGGAAAAGGAACACTTAATAATGTGCACAAATATTGAGAAGCTTCAAGATCAAAGGAAGAGGCGATGCAGAAAAATTGCAAAATGACAGAGGAATGAAGAAGTCTGTGCTACCGATGCCAGTTTCCTTTTCTTTTTCCCTTGAGCCCTTAAGCTTCTAGGTCATTGCTAAGTGACCAAAAGAAAAACTGTGTCAAAAGGTCCATGTCCCTGTAGGCAATTTTGCCAGGAAGTTATAGCACTAGATAGATATAGGCTAATTCATATACATGCTAAGCTGATACATAGGTATTCTCCAGCTATACTCCAAAGAAAGCATGCTACCTCCTAGACCTGATTCTCTGCCTCAAGTATCTGGGTTGGAAACCTTTACAACTTAGCTACTAGAAGAATCAACTGTCACTAAATGTACAAGATGACTGTAAGACATCAAAGGAAGGGAAACATACCCTGAGAACCACTCCTTGGATCTGGGACAGTTGTGGGGTCCTCACGCTCCTGGGATGGTGGATACTCAATCACATTCCTGTGATCCCTGGACTCATGAGATAGAGAGGTAAAAGCAGACAAGGCCTCATGCAAGCTCTCCCCACTCAGTTGTCGAATGTGCTTCAGAATCAATCACTTTCTTCAGTTGAATAACTAAAACACCTAATTGGGTTAACCACCATTCAATGAGTACTTAGGCATTATCAATCTAGCCAGAAAAAGCCATTCTAAGAATCTCAAACTAACATGCAAATGCAAAGCTAGGAGGACAAATTGTTAAATAGCAAGAATGTCACACTCTAATTTTTGACTCGGCTCTAGTTGTTTGTAAAAAGAGGGAAAAACAAGGGGCTCTTCATGCAAATGTGTGTCTGCACATGAACACAAATTTGCAGGAATCATGAAACTACATGGCAGATTTTAACTAGAACTTATAAATGTTAAAACTATTTGCTTCATGAAAACTTACATACAAATGCAAATTTATAATCAAATGAAATTCAGAATTTCTCATAGAGCAGCAAGATCAAGTGAATTGTCTTTTTGTAAATCAATACTGAAAACCCCAATCAACCTACCTTTCTTTTATTCTTTTTTTTTTTAATAGAGAATATGGACTGACGTAGTACATCAGTGAACAAAGTTATTCAAACTGAGATAGTACATGGAAAAAATATTTGATACTGTAACCTTTACATGCTCAAAGTAAAAAAAAGTACTATTAATAATAAACTGCAAAAATGGATGAAGTTCATCCAAAAATGCATGCAATTTAAAGCACATTCTACTCTCATCCTTCCTCTCACAAACCTGATGGTTCTGTTTCTGTTGGCTTCTTGCTACTGCGTCTCTGCCCCTGTTGGCTCTTTTTAGCAGCACTGCGCTTCTTGCGCTCCTCCTTCATATACTTCCAACTATGATAGTACAAGTTGTCACGGTCGAATTCAATGAATTCCTGGAAACGCTGACTACGATGTAGCTTGGTCAATTTGAGGATGGACTTTGTCCCAACAAAGCGGATGTCAGCCCGGTATCCCAAGCGGAAGAGGCGGTCTTGGTCAAACTTGAGCCTTTGGTATCTTCCTTCTCGTTTGACTGAGATTATGAAAATTGGAGAAATAAGAGCTCCTGACATGCACCAAAAAAACTTTAAAAAGTTCAAATGTCCGTAAAGTTTTTAGGAGACACTATTTTATTCATCCAATGTATTAAAGTTCTTGAGCTATTCTTTACCACATAACACTCATGAAAATAGATAGATCAGTGCAGTATAAGAACTGCAAAGATGGTTAAGATTCCATGGCATTAAAAGTTCTTTAAACCCCATGATAACTTATGAGAAGGGGTCTAACCTCTAGAACATTATCATGAGATATGCTTACAGCAATCCCGCACAACCTGCGGGTACTCTGAGAGATCAATGTCATCATCAGCATTGAAGCATCTGCTACTGGCACGCCTCCTGGCAAGGGAAGTGGCCAGGGAGTCCTCCACCTCCATGTCTTCTGATTCGTGGAATCCACTCAAGGTCCCATCCTCACTAAGGGTGCTCTCACCTGGCTGGTATGTCTCATCTTCATCATCATCAAGGGATGATCCTTCCATGCTTCTTGATGGGGTCAGAACTCTGCTATTGGACTTGCGACTGGAACATGGAGGCTCATTTTCAGTTTTACAAGAACAGGCTCTTTTGTAAATCATTCTGTACAATTTTATGACATGTAATCTGAAACACAATGAGATATGGCCCCAATCAATGGTAAGTCTATTATATGAAAGCAACAGTAACGACTTTTACAGCTTTAGTTCTTGACTTCCAGGTCCATCCTCAAGATGAGCTATTTTCTTGAAATGTAAAGCACTTCATAGCAAGGTTAAGTTTGATGTCTTTTGACACAATATTTCTTTCAATTTGTAAAAAAAAAAAAAAAACCACGTAAAAGACAATAACACATGCACAATCAGATAAAATAATTATGAAAAGCCTGACACATCCTTCTTAGGGTAGGGGAAGCAGTGGAAGTGAGTGACAAGAAAAATACAGTAGTCCTAGTGTGTATGGCATACAAAAATTAAAATGTGCAAATGATTCAATAGTATTTAGATATAAATGGAAAGAGATTCCTATTCAGTGCTACATAACTCAACAGACTAGGGAAGGCTTCCATTTTCATCACTAATAACAATAACAGAAAGCACCAATACAACAAAATATTCAGCAACATACCTTGTTCTGGCATGAGTTCCATCAGGTGCATGACTTGGCAAGCTGGAAGTGAGAGAAGTTGAGAAGCGATTGGAGATGGTGACATGGTTGAGATCTAAATCACCTCCTGAACTGGGACCACAGAGTGTGGATCTAGAACCTTCATTGGGGGAATCTGCACTTCTCTCCCCTTGAATAGTTCTCTTCTTAGAAGATTTTTGAAGTGAAGGACTGGCTTTCTTCTTTTCTCTCTTCTCAGTTTTCTTGGTCTGGGATTTCTGAGAGTCATTTCCTTTTCTAGAGAAAGAAAATATATGAAGGGAACAGCCAGCTCATTACCTTAACTGAAATAGACATACTGACTTAAATGAATGGAGTTTGAAGCCAAGACAGTTAAACTTATTCACTTTCAATGTTCTCTCCTCAAATCTGATACAACTTCAATTATCATGTGAAATTTTACTTTTATGAGAGATATCAATCCAAATAACATCCAGATACTGACCTAGTTTTCCCCTTGGCACTGTCTTCTGCAGATCGAGATGTTTGAGATGCAGAGAAGCGGTTGGAGATAGTGGCAATATCGAGACCTGAATCTTCTCCAGTATACCTACTGTAGAATGTGGATCTAGATGTCTCACTGGGGGGGCATGTTCTTTCTTTTTCTCCTGGAGGAGTTTTCTTCTTTGAGGTATAATGGGACTGAGAGGGGCTTCTTGGCTTTCTCCTCTTAGTCTGGGACTCTTGAGCTTTCCTCCCCCTTCTAGAGGAGGAAACAGGAACAGCTCTGGCCTGTTTTGTGCCTTGGGACTTCAGTGTGCCATTTTGTCGCTTCTCTGCCCTCTCTTTCACCTTCCCCGTGAAAGGGGAAAACATGTTAGTGTAATTTATGGACTGCAGGGAACGAAGGCTGCGGGAATTGCTGCGCATGGTTCCTTCTTTTGAAGTGCAGTCTGTACTGTTTCCATCTTGAGTGTCCTCTTCTGTTCGGTTTGTAACACTGGCGAAGTCTGATGTGTCTAATGACAGGGCAAGACTTGACACTGTTCTGCTAGTTACAGGAGAATCTTGATGGGTCTGGATTAAGCCAGTACCTCGTTTAGAAATCTTCCCACCTAGAATGGAGAAACAAATATTATTGCACTCATTCTCATGAGGAATACATGCTTCCTATTCAAATTCATTCAGCAAGATTTAAAATTTTCAATTATATCTAAATGTGCTGTCAAACTATATCACTGTGAATTACTTAATAGAATTTTCTTTTAAATTGCAGAAATAATGGTCATCAAACAGAAGGTCTGATGTGAGATGCAATAACAATGTGAGAAAAATCTAGTATTCAGTAATGACAACTAGCATTAATACCACTCTACCAAATAGGCTTTCCAAAGCAGAGCAACCTTAATTCAAAGTACTGAATGTAAGTTAAAAAAAAAAGGAAGGACAAAAATTAAAAACTAAGAAAAACTTGATATTTATGGATGTTTAGAAGATGTGACAACATATATTGGTGATATTAGCTAATGACCCACTTCATAAAATGGAAATCAATGAGTATTGCTTAGAATCTTGACATGCAGCTATTAAAATTGATATTTTAAGAGACTTGCATAAAATGTTTGTATAAAATGTACACCTGTCAGGCATTTAAAAGTAAACACAGACTTGTCTGAAAATGAACTACCATGTACTTCATAGCTGGTGCATACCTAAATCTTTCTCTAAACCTTTTTCAAATACATGACAAATACACTCAATGTAATGGGGTAGAATGAATCAGTAACAACCCAATATTGGCAACCTAAATGACATAATTTAATTATTTGCAACCCATTATTCACTCAATGTAAAACATGTCCTAAAAAATACTAAGTTATATGCAAAGTTACAGGTCTGTTACCAGTAATCATTATATGGTATATATCAGAATGCGTTTGCATAAAAAGACCTCCCAATACCACAAGTTTAAGAACATGAAACCTAAATGCCATCTTCCTTCCTATGAGGTATACATATTAAATAAACAGAAACCAGCTAGAGATCGAAACTCTTAAGTAAATGAAAAATGGAATATGACCACCAAAGCACAATGCTATGAAGGAGTAAGGTAAACTCACTCAAGGAGAAAAGTTAACTGTCCCATAAACATCGAGTCATGAGGAAAATTTCCACAACCTCTTTGAAAAAAACCTAGACAATTTCAATAAGATGACAAAATTTACCAGTAACCTACAGAATTTTTGTTGTCCAATCCATATTTGTTACCATGCCTCAAGCTCAAGAGGTAATGTAATTCAGTATTACCTAGACAGTAATATTTAAAAAAAAAAAGGCAACAATACAAAGACATACTGCATTTGGGCATGAAGCTCAAATTTAACAAAACTTACCAAGTTGCTTAATAAAAGAAATTAAAAAAAAAAGAATATGGCTAACAGAACTCACCAAGTGCACTCTGTGCGAAGAAGGATGCATGAACTCGTTTGGTCCTGGCACTCCTTTTGGGAGTTGAGAGAGGGAAATCATCTATGCCAAGTACGACTGTGAAGTTGCAGGGCTGAGGTGTGGCAGAGGTTGAACAAGAAGGCAACCCTGTTTGCATATCCTCCAAGCTATTTTCATCACCGTCTGCTTCAACCTGCTGTTCGTACTGCAAAGATCGACGGGTGGTGGGAACAATAGCTGTAGACTTTTTTGAAGATTTTCTCTTTCCACTTTTGCACCTGGGTGACTTGACCTTCTTGGGCGATTCCTTCTGGTTGACAGAGAGGCTCCTCCTTCTCAGGGAATATCCACTTGTCTGCATCTCTGACAGGTCAGTCTCACAAACATCAGATCCTATGTCATGATTGCCATGCTTTTCTTGACCACATCTCAAAGAAGCATCAGCCTCCAGTGAAACTCTGCTGGATGACCTTGCCCTGAAGCTTGAATCATATTGAGATGAAGAATGAGATTTCCTAGTTGTTCCACTCTTATTACGGGACACACTATGGCTTGATGAGGTCTTGGCTGACTGGCTAAATGATTTCTTTGTTGTTTTGTGCTGACTTTGGGCAGCTGGAGAAATGAAACTATCATGATTTAAGCAAGATGAGTCACCTCCAGCATCACCCAGGTGAGCATAGCCAGTTTCATCTGTATCATCCTCATAACACAATGTTATCTCTTTGGCTGTGCTGAAGTGCTGCTTGCATTTTCCTGTCAATGATTCAGAAACAGTTTTGGTCTGCTTCACAGAACTCATATCCCGATGTTTCATGCTCACATCAGCAACTGTTGTCCTCTCCAAGGAAATTTGCTGTGTGTCTTGGCACATGTGAGAGCTCCTAGTACCATCTGAAGATTTATTTGAAAGAGATGGTTGCTTTGGTAGCAAGTCCTCATCAGAAGACTCTTCATCATCTGCTTCCACACTAGTAGTCTTCTCATGGATGGAATCAGATGGTTTCAAGCGCTTTGGAGATGATTGTGTTAGGTCTTTCGCAGGACTTCTTTCCTTCGATTCTCGTGCATCCATGCTTCTCTTCCGGGAGGAAGACACTCCAGGAAGTTCAGTTTGAACAGTAAGGAATTTCTGGAATTCTCGCTGCAAAACATCTTGAATACTGGATGCAATGAATGCTTGTAGCTGACTTGGGTCCAACAGCTGAGACCCAAGGGTCACTGAGGCTGAATGAGGCTCATATGTGTGTTCCTGGATGCTTGGCAGGATACCTACAGTTTGGTTGGCCAAGGGAAGGGGATTCTCACCCATGGGAGTCCTACGCATCTCTGGGCTTACAGATGAAACCTGCGAGTTCCTGTAATGATTCAAGAGGAAAGATTAGACTCTCAGCACTGCTGTGAAGTGCATGGAATTTTCATGTCATGGCAAACTACTACTGCATACATTGCTTGGCACATCAAGGACTGTAACTAATGTTTAGTATTACATAACAATTTGAAAGCAATACTATCAGTTATATGTTACTACACTTGAATTATGGATTGGAGAAATATTCAGATTAGTTTTGAGGATAAGGCAAGACTATGATAACATAGAAGCTGCTCAAAAATTTACATTAAAAAAAAGTTATTATTGAAATTAATTAACAAGAAACATAAATATGAAAGAAAAGAATGCAAGTTCATTATTTCTGCTGATCAAATCCTAGTTTTTTTTTTACTGCATGATTCTCAACATTTCCATACTATTTTTTGCAATCTAACTTTAAAAATCAAGGGAAAAACACTAAAAAAATTACTCTTAAAAATTAAAAAAAACTTCAAAGTTCTCTCTCGCTGATAAATTTGAGCTGCATACATAGTAACAACTTACACTTCATGAGCTAATTATGAGAGTTTGCATTGCTGTGGCAAACATTATCCAAGAGAATTTCAAATGTGAAACCAGGAAGATACTTGAAATAAGAGGTTCCATATAGAATCCTTCCAGAATAAAAGCATGTGAGGCATCTGAGATGGCTGAAAATGTTCTATATCTATTTTTAAAAAGCATTGATAAAAAAGTGGAAAAATCATGCAGTACTTTCTACCACCATTTTCCGAATGACTTCACCTCAAATTTATTTTAAAAGCAAGAAGTTACTTCCAAGTGGTTAGGATCATTTCAGAGGTGAGGACTGGAGGGGGAAAGGAAAACTTACTGGTAGAGAGAGGGAGTCAAATGAGAGACATGAAGACTCATTGCAGTGGTGGCATCTCGAACTCCCATTGTTATCTCCTGGACCACAGGTTCAACCTCCTCCTCTGGAATATCCTAAAATGGAGAGACTCAGGCAGCTGAACAAGAGGAAAATGTAAACATGCACCTGAGACTTTCAGACTAAAGCTGGATGGAAATGTGGGAGGCACACACAAGACTACTGGCATTCTGGCTTCAAGAGTACCAAAATGGCAGTTTACAAGCATAAAGTTTGTTATTAGATACCAGAATTCTAGATGATAACATAAAAAAGGATATAGTTCACTGAAGATTGAAAAAGGAAGGATTGCTTTCCACCATAAAGAGGCTTGTTACATTATTTTTAATGAGGGCTGCAATGAAAAAAAAAAATCTAAAACAATGATACTTCTACTAAAATACAAAGGTAGACAAAGTTTTTTAGCCTTCCAGGAACCTTTTGCTTCATGCCTAACTTCCAGCAGAGCTAAGTGAGGGTGCAACATGCACCTGGATTTGGAGGCTACATACGTCTATGGCAGGACCCTATGAAATGAACCTCAGATTTGTAATTAACAAAATTCATGAAGCACGATGAGACTTCTTTAAAATATTTATTTATTTATTTTTCACATGACAGGAATTTGGTTAAATCAAATAGAATTATAAATCCTAAATCAAATAAAATGATAAAATCTTCAAATCAAATAAGACTACATGGCTATACATAAAGCATAATAACCTCAGTACGGCAAAAAAAATGTTTCTTTTTTAAATTAATTGCTTATTGAGTTTCTCTTCTTTTAGTGGTACATGAATAACAGGGACACTGAGAAAGTTCTGTTGGAACATCATAATATGCTTGATGCGTAGATGTCAAAATGTATTATCTTATTAGCATCCCAGGGCAAAAGCAGACGATGATAACAAGATGACTGAAACCACATTTAAGGTTATTTATTTTTCTTAATCCCCTAAGCAACTGTAAAAGCTTCTAACCCCTCCCTTCATGAGGTTGAACCATTAAGCAGCAAAGACTGAATATTGTGAAGAAAGCTTGGTGTGCTCTCTTCATAGAGGCAATGTTCATTCTTCTTTTTCCATATTACTCACTGAATTGATGCAACATTGATGATACAACTGGATGGTTTGATGCTTTCAAAAACACTATAATGATAGTCCAAGTTAGCACCAACTGAAGGCTGTGCCTAATAACCTCCACTTACTCTTCCTCTCTCCCTCCTTCAGTTATCTTACATTCAACCAGGACCTTTGAACAAAATTATCCCATTGTGGGAAAGACTACCTTACAAAATAGAGAAATTTAACTTCTCCACAAAAGAGAATACCTGTAGTACAACTTCTGTTGCAACATCACATTTACAGCATTGTCAAAATAAGGAACTGTGCAAAAAAATGGAGCTTCAAGCTAATCAATCATGATACAAACCTTGGGAACTGAGGCCTCAGCCCTTTCTGCTGATTCTTCCTGTGCTAATGGCACTTCTTCTGGAGGGATGATTCCATTGATGATAGGAATGGAACGACGGTCAGCTCTACTCTTTTCCCTCCATGTTCGATGACGCATCACTTCCCGATTCTCCTTCTCGCTTCGATCTGATTTTGCATCAGGTTCCAAAATTGTTTGGGTCTGGCCATTTGAAGCTTCACTCTCTTCTATGCACAAATATAGAATAACCAATCACATGTTGAAGATGCAGATAGAGCTTTCCTCTATTTTAAAACTATGATGTTCATGCCCAGGCTCAAAATAAGATGATACAACAATATCTGTGAAGTATTATCATGCCTTACTTAAAATGCACAAAAGTTATCTTAGATTACCCAGCACATTTACTTGTTCATGGGCTTTGAGTGAGAATATTTTATTGCATGTAGAATAACATGATTTGAAGGTGTGAATTATTTTACCTTCCCACAGAAAAAACATATCACCATGTTATTATGATGCAACCACTAGCATTCATAATTTGTAATTCAGGAGTGAAAGAAATATTCATATGGCAGCCCTGATCTTGACCAGTAATGTCCTTACACTGCACAACTAACACTGAAAATCTCCTCCCAACAATACAAATTTTTCATTCAACAAGTATATGGGATAGTTTTATCATTTTGTTTGCATAAAATTACACTCTTAAAGCTTTGTAATGGAATAATCTGTTCTTATCCATGTTAATTCACTTTATCCTAGACAAGGTAAAGAAGAAAAATTGGAAGGAAGAAATCGGCATTGTATATAACATTCAATAAATTTTAACCTGCACAATCTCAAGAGGAAGGGCAAGCTTCAACAGATCAAGTATTCAAGTTGAAAAAATGTTCATTATTGCTGACAAATACTGCACGGCATCCAATCAGCATCTCCCACAAAACACAAATTCTCAATTATGCCTAGCTAAAAAATTACAAGTAAATAGCAAATAGGGAAATTTTCTTTTCAAAGATTTGCTAAATAAATAAAATCTGATCAATTCCATGCCTAGATTTAAGGAGATGAAAAGGGTGACACAACTCACTTTCATCAGTTTTCCCTGTGGACGTTGCAGAAGCTGAAGGCCTGGATCGATGGGAAGGAATATTTGAAAGGGTTACTGGAAAAAGTGGTGGGGGAAGGGCTCTGATTGGGCTCCCTATGCATGTGCTGGTCAGCGGTCTTTCTCCAGCAATTGAGCCATTGGTAGAAAAAAGGCTCCTTCGAAAGGAAGAACTCCTTCCTGATCTCAAGCAGGGGGTCGACCCATCCAATGAGTTTGCTGCACTCTGTTGGTAAAACATCATGCACTAATATAACTCCAATGCTAAAATAGTATATTGATGACTTAGCAAGAGTACACCCATAGTAAGTCACATATGACCAATCGGATTGATCAGAAAGGGGCACATCTCAATGCATTTAGAAATTTGGAAACACATTTAGGGTTTCCTCCAACTTAATATTAATACCCTTCTTTGTTTAAGGCCTTGAAGAGGACAAGTAGTAGAATGCAGAAGGGGGGAGGACTCACCACACATGCTGAAGGTGTTGGTATTGGCACTGGTAAGGGAGACTTTGAATCCACTGGTTTCCTGGGTTCCTTGGCAAGATTTTTAAGAATGTTCCTGCATGCAAATATGAAGAACAAGATAGACAAGAACTTAGGAAAATAATTGGATTACATGATTAGGCAAATAACATTGATATCTAACATACCTTCCACCAAGTTTTCGAGGTAACTTCTGCAAGGTTTCTTTCACAACCTGGTCTGGATGGGGAGAGTCGCAGAATGTCTTCGATTGATCAGAACTGGAAAAGAGACCAGTATCCCACATCCTGAGTCATAATACAGCGAACTTTCTTCAACAAACTAAGTAAGGGGATAGCCTCATCACACCTTGTAGAACTTTGCTCATCTGCTAGGTAAGATGCACTGCTGGTATCTATCATGATAGAGGAATCCTCATAGGCGATCCTTTTTCCAGCCACACGGTCAGCTCGGTACTTCTCTGAATACATTTGAGTCCTGATGAGAAAAAACAAGAACATGAGAATACAGAATGGTAACTTTTGTCGGACTAACAACCACCCATGCAGGGTGCTTCCATCTCATTAAACCAACAGCACATGAAAGTCAAACACTGTCTAGTACATCAACAATAAGACAACAGAGGCAGGCAATACTCATAAGTTATTCAATACATAGCCCAGTAATGTGCCAACTTCATCAAACTCAAAATTCTTTCCAAGAGGAAGTCTACAGTTCTGAACAGGTATATTTGCCAGAGAAATACATGGTACCTTGTTGACTGAACAGTAAACAAAGTTGCTCATTCCACAAGCACTGATAATTAGGCTCTTGATCAATAGCTAAAACGATGGCAGTAGCAAGTACTTACTTTCTCCTCATCTCTTCCTGCTCATTTTGGGAGAATTTTGTTTTGGGCTTTCTGTGAGCAGCTTCAAATGCTCGGCGCGTTGCCACACGCTGCACACTGTTCTTAGAAGACAGCATCTTTTAGTGCCTTCAAAACTGAATCAATGCATGCATAGACCTCACTCAACCATGTCACCTGGAAAGCAACTCACAAGATAAATAACCCCCATCATTTCCACTAGGCCTAATTCCTCCTAAAACCAAATACTCTTTATTTCGAGCAAAGCAGCAATCATTTAAAGTATTGAGAGAAAATAAATTTATGAAGGCCAAGTAGCTCAACCAGAGGAAATATACCACCTTTTTTAAATAAATTTTAATCAACAAACACTACAGCAAGATTCACACCAGGCACTCAGGTTTTAAAGAATCAGGCCTGATATAGGTGTGATCACTGCTATCCAATAGTGACAAACACTTTCCTGTCCAAAGTTAACATTCTTGCTCACTACATAAATTCAATTTCTTTCCACCGACTTTTTAGAATTCTACTTTATGTCACAATCTAGCTCAGCTCATGTGGAAGGGCAGACTTATTTTGACTCATATTTTTCATTTGGGGTGAAAACACATACGTCTACCCCCGATCTACTGACAATAAAAAAAAATACTTCAGCGCGTTACCTTCATTCTTACTCTTCTTACTTCATTCTTACAGAAGGAAAACCAGCGATCATTTTAACCAATAACCCTACTCTAAGACTAAATGAGCGCGGGTGGTGACGGCTTGAACAGTCCCATTATCTGTACAAGGCCTTATATCAGCATAGAAATAACCTTAAAGTAGCCGTAATTATACAACTTAGAGTCTACTTGCGTCTAGAATATCCGCTTACTTGACCTACGCTCCTCACCCCCTCGGAGAGGGGATAAAATCGAACGGGAAGGAAGCTTCAACATATCAATGGACATCGTGAATCGCTGATGCATGTGCAGCTCACTGTCCTAGTTACAAACCACCGCAGTCAATAGGTATAATCAGTCGACAATAAAAATTGTAACGTGTTCCCGCGAACCTCGGTCCGAGAGGCGTTAGCGCGCCGATCCAAATGTGTAGTTCGTACTTTTGCCGCAAGGTGCTCTCATGACTTCGCAGTGAGCATCGAGAAGTGGTGCGAGTTCTTATAGATTGGCTGTGCTCGTTGCGTCGCTCGTGTTCGGTTTCATAGAATGCATCGAGAAAGTTTGCATGTACATTAAGTACCTTGATGATACATGCCGAACAGTTCCTCGGTTTCGGCAGTCTTCACACGGTTGCGAGGATGGTTAGTTTGGATGATTCCCAACCTTGAGTAAAGATGGCGACGTTCATTCCTCAGCCCGCGGGATATGGTGAATGTGCCAAGGGGGGCTATTGTACGCCTTGTCAACACCATGTACACCCTGTGTACACCCATCCTTTAACCCCAGTCTTCGCCTTGTGACTATAGCCATGTACTAACTAAGTATAGAGCATGGGTGGAGGAGGCCTAGAATATATTTTCCAGCCTTGATTAAGCCATATTATCCATTTTCCATGAAATGCGCCATATTGAAGCGCCTCCCCAGCGCTCTCTTACGGTTTCCGTGCGAGGCTATCTGCCGGGAATTTTTATTTCTACTGGAGCTGAACGCCGACTTCTAATTCTCATATACAGTCAACTCTCGTTAATTCGGACTCGAGGGGACTGGTGATATTTCCGGATTATCGAGTCCCTGCCCGAGTGGCCATTCATTTTTCTTTTTTTTTTTCAAGAAGAAAAAAAAAAGAAGGCTCCTCGTTACTCGGTTCCAGGAAATTGGGGATATCAAACGTTTATTTATTTATTCATTTTAAATCCAAGGATGAGGGAAAGTAAAGAAAAGGGGAAAAGACAGGGAAATCTGTTATATTCTATTGTATTATATGTATTTTGCTGGAAAGTCCGGATTAACGGAAGATCCGGATTACTGGCGTTCGGATTAACGAGAGTTGACTATTGCACATATAGCAATAGTAGCAACACAAGGTTGACATTGACACGACACGACGATCCTTGACCTGATACCAATGACAGTCTTCCAGCGGATTATCTCCGATAATCTCCGATAATACCACTCCCTCCTACTCACTCACCCTTTGTTTCTGGCTACCTGTAACACCTATAAAAAAAATATGGAAGGGAACACACATATCCTAGTTGCGAGATCATCTCCTCCTGACATCTCACGTCAACCATGGCCGTTCCTCTCCACGACCCAGACATCCCCCAAATTAGCGCGATTCTCCTGAATGATGTAACTGCAGCAGAATTTGCAGTTCAGCAGGGTCTGCTACCAGACTGCGCAAGCTCCTGGATGCTGGATCGCCCCGGTATGTTGAATTTTCTTTCGCTATTTTGTTTTCTACATTGCTTACACTTGAAGTGCTAGTTCACATGTCATTCGATTGTATGGTATAGGGACAGTGTACAACAGCACCAGACCTGGCCGAAACGGAGCCAGGTCCGCCATACTCAGATGCAAGAAATGGGCCGGAAGCGATTGGTGGCGCGGGAAGGAGGCACCTTTTTCTCCTTCAAGGACAGGCCTTTGCCCTTGCTCCAAATTGAGCATTCGGACGGTTTTCTTTATTTACTTTATTGTTGGGCTGCTGATGTCACCATCAAGCATTGCCAGGAGCATACAAAACTACTTGGACTACTATCTCCAACCCCCCCACGAAATATGAAGCTTCTCAGTCCACAAACAGGAATGTGGAGGATTATTGCCAGGCGAAATTAATACAAAGGTTCTAAGTCTCGTAATAAGAATCAATCCAGCTATCAATCAATCAATCAATCCATCCAGTAAGGAAGCAGGGAGAGAAATCATCCGGGGGGGAAAACCACTTGACCCCAACATTGGCCTTGGCTTCATGGGAATTAAATGTGAGAAGGGTTTGTTGCGTTAAGTAACAGGGACCACGGAAAGGCGTGTGAAGGGAGGAGACAATAATTTGACTAATTGTGGCCTATTACAGTCTTCCTTGAAGTTAGCCGACAGCATTGTTTAAAACGGGGTTCAGATGACTTCATCCTGAGCAAGCAAAACTCATTGGCATAATGCTAATGTGTGACTGGAAAAATGAATTCCATTTGTTGGAGTTAATTTAATTTCACTGTGAATCCTGATAGAAGCGTAGGTCATCAGGAAATCCATCACGAGACAAAAACTAGTATTATGTATAGAAGATTGTGAAGTATTTGGTTGAAAGAGATGGTTTGGCAAACAAATGGTTGTCACATACCTCCCATGTGACTCATTTCTTGTTCTATCAAATTGCAAACAAACTAGGGAAACCAATTTTACCACCATATTCACAACAGCTCAAATGAAAGATCAGATGCCTTTCCATAATCCAAGAATCTTTGTTTTCATGTTGGTGTTGAAGAGGTCGATGTATCGTATTCTCAGGAGAGTGGACATTCAATCATTTTAATTACTGGATTCACTTGCTGAGTCAGCTCCAACAACCATCTCAGAAATTAAACTCTTAGTTCAAGACAACGGAGTGACCTGGACCATATCGACTTGCAGCATAATTCTTTTGGATATGAAATTATTTCCATTCGTTATGACTACACAATCTTTAACGGGGGAAGGGAGTATATTTCAATATGTCACAATGGCATCAACCTGTCACCACCTGTCATCTATGTCTTGCTTCTATTCTGCAATAAGATTAACACTGGAAACTATGGAATCAGCCAGTGGCTGATGTAATTGCAACATATGAATGATTATTGCTGGTGCATCAGTGCATTTGATTTATTGTTGTATTAATGTTCCATTGTTTTCTAATGGCAAAATATTTATCTTTGGTATTCATGTCCACTACATCATGGTTCAATGGAAATACATGTCCCTTGTATGTGGAAATCTCCAAGATATTAAATCTAACTTATATTTCAGTGTTTATGCATGTTTGTGTCCTTTACACACAACCCTGCCTCTGATCCCAGTCCAACCAAACTTTGCATGGCTTCCTCATTTGGTCAGGGGATGGACATAGGCTATGTGGTGTTTCAAAATTTGGACCCCCATGGTACTGAATTTATTGCAGATTTGGCTGATCCACTACTGCAGAACCAAGGAGTCAAAATTTTGGAGGCACATTTAAAAAAATTTAAGTTGTAAAGTGCAGTTAGCTATTAGAATTTCGCAATTGGTTGTGTAATGAAAGCTACATATTTTTAAAACAATTTCTTGCTGGGTTTGCCAAAGAGGCATTAAAACAAAATTAAACCTACAAATATGGGTTGTATACAATATTCACCAATACCTCTGCATGTAAGATATATTTTAGACAACAAACAAGCTTTACAACTTCTTCTTCATCTGTCATCTTTTGCATCCAATTTGCCATTCTAGGGTGCCATTCTAATTTTCCTTACCTTTTCTTTCCAATGAAGTATCCTCATATCTTGGCAGTTGGCAGTTATGTAATTATTTGACAAAACTTCAATTATCCATTAGTTTCCATTTTACAGATGAGTGAATATACCAGCGATGCCCAAATAATTTGTGCATGCAGGCAGCACCATTATGGTAAGATCTAGGCAAAATGAAAGTAATGAGTTTTTGAATGGCTGTTGTGGACTCCACTTCAATGAAAAAAAAAATCAGTGATTTTACTTCTTTGAGCATGAAATGAGGTTCAATAGTTCATTCCTGAAATCCCCTGCATCACTGTAACCCATGAAGTACCACATCAAAAGGTCATGCAACAGAGACCAATGGTCTTTGACAAGGAGACCATATGACTTCCTATTTCCTCAGGAATCAAATTTGAAGGACATCACCGATTTAGATGAAACTGAATTAGTAATGATAGCATACCTCAAGGAGCTTGCTAATGGAAGACAGAATTTGTGGTTCCAGCAGTTACAACAATGTTAGGAACAGTGAGTTCAGGCATCTGCAACTACTTTGAAGGAGATTGGAGCTAACTTCTAATGACCATTATTTACTTGAGGCATTAAAAAAATATGGTAGAAAACTTTTTCACACTATATATGGAGGTTGCACAACCTCAACAAGGAACAGAGGAGAGAATAGCTGGAATTTCTTGGGAATGACACTTTTAACAGTGGAAGTTTCACAATACAACCAGATTTGTCAATTCCCAAGCATTTCCCTTCCCCTTCAAGGTGCATTAAAATGAATTGATTTGAGCATGTTCCTCCATGAGGAAGGTCCACAGCACAACCCTCACATCTTTACCCAACCTGGCCCCACATAGCATTCTAGCATCATATCATGCAACACATGTGGAAAGCATCAAATTCCATCAATAGCTATTTTCTAATGAGAAAATACTTGGAACTAAGCTCTTAAGGTCAGTCTTCATGCAGAGACAGGCAAAATTAAATTGAGAGGATTATTTTCTAGTTCAGTTATACAGAATATGACAAGGAAAGAATAAGACCTGTAAATCTGTTCTCACTGGGGATATTTTCACCAAACTTGCTGTGAGCATATACTGTATTGATGTTCCCAATATGTACTTGGAATTTAATCCAAATTATAGCAAAGACAGACAATGAGCAACTCCAAAAAAAATAATTAGGAACTGGAAATGGACAGGGGTCTCCTACTCCCTCTGAGTGCTTCACTCTCCTGCCCCATTCTCTGACAAACACCAAAGAGAAATCCTAATAAATTTTTGAAAACTCTCTCTCTTGATACCTACTGATGTATCTGTCATTGATTTTGAATAAGGTTATCAATGTTACTTGCAAAAAAAGGCCAGCCTAGAATATTGAATTTCACTGACTTGGGTGAAACGCAAGCAGACCACATGGGCATGTCCTACACTCTATGAGTATGATTCTCCTATTTCATAATCCAACTTTTTGTAATCATTGCATAAAGATTTTCTTTAGAGAAATGAATTTAGAAAACAAGTTTGAAATATTAAAGATAAATTGATAAAAAAGTCATGGATATTTCTAAAACCATACTCTGCCTAATGCAGAACAACACCGGTATAAAGTTCCTAGGTATGGAAAGAATTAAATGTTTCTGAAAAACCACATGCAAACAAATTCCAGCCTGAAGAGGGCTTTATTCTCTGCAGATACACATAGGAATGGCTTTACAGCAAAGGAAGAGTCTGCTTCATTTAGAGCTAAGAGTGAACAGGAGACACCATGCATCTTTATACTCAATAGTATATTCACCAAATTATGCCAAAGGGGGATCCTACTTCACGATATTTGTTAACTCAGTAGGCGAATATTGCCAAGAATGTTTTGAAACAAGAAGTATTTTCTTTCATTTTGCTACGTTATTAAGACTAAATCACTTGTAGATAATTTAAAGCAAGCCTTCCACAGTTGAGTCCTTTGTACATTCCTCATACAAATTTATGGTCCTCATGTTATTGGTGTCTTTTTCCAGTGCTTTCATGTTTTGCACATCATTCATTCCTTATTCTTGACTTTTTACTCTGAATTATGTAAATGATCTGTTCCCTTTTCAATGTTCATTTGTCTTCTGTTTAATCTGATATGACCATAGCCATACTACTGTGAGAAATAAATTGAACTCTATTGCCACAATCATCCTATGGGATAAAAATCAAAATGTAAAACATCCCACCAGGGAGCTTCATTATCAAGGTAAAATTACAGTCATAACAATGGAGTCACATGAACCACCGAGGCATAATTTAGCAGATATTCTAAACACATGATTGGATTTTCTACAGAGACAGAGAAAGCCCCTTGTCGACTGGGAATCAGGGTGGAAAGAAAGCAGCTCAGCTCCCATGGTACTGGAAATTCCAGAAAAAAATAAGCAACTTTTCCCATAGCAAGGAAAAAGGAAAGGTAAAACAGAAAATTCAATTCTGCACAGCCACACAAAGCAATTAAAAATAAGTAAGTGCGTGATATGCTCTTAAACTGTAACAATTATCATGGAGGAAAGGAAAAATTCCACAAAAGGAGACATTTCTGGCAGTTTTTCCATTGACTCCTGCCAGGATAGTACAGTCCTACTTCTCATTAGAAACTTCTTCCAGAATTTCCTGAATTCCTCGACTGCCTACTTCACGCATGAAGGACTTCATCATCTCCCGATAGTCCATGGTTGCCATGAGTAGGACTGCTTGAGACTGGCCCACATTCTTCAAGGAATATTCTATCCCTAAATGAAGCAAAATGTATGGGATTCAATCATTTCGGGTAATCACATTCACAACTAGACATAGTTCCCTTTAATGATCGAATAAATGGACCAAAATGGCTGATGGTACCCTCACATTGGTAATCAGATAATATTAGAAGAGGAGATAGAAATTTTCAATGCTGACTATTCCATTATTCCTAAATGTATACTTAGAAGTTAATTGACCAATCAATTTAAAATAAGTCAATTGACCAAATAATATTAGTCAAGAAGGCACTTTCTGGGGTGGTTTCTACCTCCACATTTTTGGAGTCCATGGGGTTGTCATGCCTTTCATCTCACAATCATAACTCCCAGAGACTTTGACATACATTTAGTTGTACTTGAAATGTGACACCTACACCTTGAAAATATACATTTCAATTACATCAGAAAAATCAAGTGAAAGGCATATTTAACTCAAACCAGATGAATTTGGATGTTTCCAGGTAGTGTTTCAATTATGTAATTTCCTAATTAGATATAAATTGAACTGATAAACCTCTTGTCTAACACAGCATCTGTCAAATTAGGCATGATACATGTTTCTTAGTGTATTCATTTGTAGCTGTTGAATGAAGGGAAGATGTCCTCACTAGGTTTTAGGATGACTACATCACTTGGATGCAATGTGCGAGGGACACTGGTTCCCATGGTGAGTTGAACCACTCCAACTTCTACAAAGGCAACCTGGGAAAGAAGGAACAAGACAGCCATGCATGAAGACCCCCCTACATCAGAAATTCCTCTGTAGCAGTAACATGGATTGGTGAGACAAAATTTGCCATTAGCAGGATGTACACAAGACATAAGCAAAACTGTGACCAAGATTAACATGACAACTTCATGAAGCCAACAGCAGGCTAAAACTGCAGAAGACTGGCTTGGTCAGATCATGACATACTCACATACTTGATTCCCATCACTAATAACCATCAAGGCTCAACATGGAAGATTGAATGAGAAAAATTTAGTTTTTTTTTTTTCCCAAAAACCAGAGTCTGAAAGCTGAGATTTTGACACAATATTCTTCCAACAGTGCTTTCAGATTGATGCTATATCCTCTGGCAACACAAGTTTGAGGACAGCAATTTTTCACATTCCAATTGGTGAAACTCATTTTGCCATTCAATACTGATGCTTTAGGCAATAACTCAACTGAAATGGTCTTCAATTCTTATTGTATTATTATGTCCAGAATACAAATCGAAGGTCAACTTGTCTTCATAGATCCATAGGCATAATGTTATCTCCCCAGTTGCTTTGCTTGCTCCTTAGTTAACTGTGCTGTTGGCATTCTGGAATAATGACCCTTGGAAGCACACCATTCAAATATTCACAATGGTTATAGCCTTATTCTTTCTCTTGTGACACATTAAGATGAAAATCTAGCAACAATAAACTCAGGATGATCATCACCATAAAAAAAAACAGGTGTATAATGACAGGTTAACAAGGTGTAAGGAGAAAAACAAATCTTACCACAGTATTTCCAGATTGGATGGGTCGAGGTGGCTTGCTGCAGCCAGGGTTGATGAAGAAGTGACTGAAGACCATACCATGTGATGGCCGGAAATAGTTCATCACATATGGATCCCCCTGCTTTGGTTCACCACGATCTGGTCCCACAGTCCGCAGATGATCCCTTCCCAAGACTACAAGCAAACAGAGAATCCAGTCCAGAACCATCAACAGATTCATGGGATTTGCAATCTGATGTCCAGAGTGGGGTCCTCACGTTCCTGGGATGATGGATATTCAATCACGTACCTGTGGCCTCTAGTTTCATGGCTCACCCCCTCGTCTTGCCCCATGGTATCTGAAGCATAATTCATTGCACAAGTTATACATACATAATTTTCTACTGCAATAAACAAGATTTTTATTGCTAATAGAAAACAGGATCCTTTCAGTTAAAATACAAGTAGGGCTAGTTAATGCTCTTGATGGGAGAATTTTATAGATAAATTGTCCTTCCATAGGTCCCAGTAGCTACAACCACTGTTCTCTCTCTTCACTCTGAGGCCACAAGTCCTATGGTGTGCACCTTAATCATGTCCCATGCAGGTACTGTATGAATGCTACCTGCTGGGGACAGCAGGATGATTCCCTTCACAATGACCATGCTATTTTCATGGTGTCAATTTTCCTCCTCAAGTCTTTACTCTCTTTCTTATTAGCAAAATTCCTACCATCCTTGGAGGATGCATTCCTGTCAAGTTTTGCACTTCAGACAAAGCAAAAAATTGCTGCAAGCACTAATTGAAGTTTCCTCCTGATGCAAAGAATTGGAAACATATAGGCACATAAAAAATGGAGACAATCAACTTCATGCCTCATGAAAATAAAACTGAGCAGTCACCACCAGGTTATCAATACCTTGGATGACCATTAGTTACAACAAAATTTCTGCACTTCTCTCAAGTTCTACTCAATGTAAGATTTCACTATTTTACAACTTTGACACTTTTATAATATAAGGGGTGTTCTAACCTGAGGTTTCTGTTTGTCTTGGCTTCTTTCTACCTTTCCTTCTTTCTACTTGGGTTTCTTTCTGCCCCTGGTTCCTTTTGACCCCTCTGCGTTTCAACGCGAGAAGTGCGTATATGAAGTACCTTACTATCATGTTTAACAGAGCCAGTTTCAGCTATTTGAGGACCTCCGCGACCGACGCTACGTCGAACCAGTATCACTCCGTCCTAAAGAAGGGCAGTTAGTGGATGTCAGCTCGGTATCCCAAGCGGTAAAGGCGTTCATGGTCAACCTTCAGCCTCTGAAACCTTCCTTCCCGTCGGACTAGGATAAAATTAAAAGGAAAAAATCAAGTCAAAATCATATGCCATATCCATAATCAATGTTACTTTCATTCCTATAAGTATTACCTTAAAAAGGCTAAGCAGAATGAACACAAGCCTCTGAATACACCAAAACACATTTTTCTCAAATATAACAAAGAATGAACATTATGGTACAATTATTGCAAAATGATGGATGTTCTTCAGGAGGTGGTACCAAATCCTATGAACAACAAATTTCAGTATTAAATGGTGCAGAATGTCAAAAAAGCAACATTTCATTGTGAAACTTTTCTGCATGTGACAATCTTCAAATGCTTCCAAAATTCCTCAAAGATGACATTAAGGTTGGCCAATACAGACTTATTGTTCATAATTTATCACTGATTATAAATGATTAGCTAGAAGGGAGGACAGGAAAGGCCAATGACATTGCTACACTGTCTAAATCAATAAGAAACCATTCATTGTTTAGGCAGGAAGCTATGCTTCATTGCATGGTTCTAAGCTGTTGGATGTGTTCCATATCAAAGTTATCAGACTCCAGCTCTCCCCTACAACTGCTTAAAATCATTCTAGAAAGCCCTGGGAATGATGCAAAATCAGGCAGCAAGGAGAGCTTTGATGCCAAGATGGGATAAGGTAAACTGTGTACCTCCAAGTCCAATACTGAGATTATCAAATTGTTCGCCTCACTACATCTCTCTTTCTTTGAAGCGATACCATGAAGTCCAACCATTTAATCCTATATTAAATATGATCTACTGAATACAAATTTTACCTTTTTTCTGTTAGATGTTACAATGTGGCTTCAAATATACTTCAAGAGGCAATAGAAGTGATCCTGCCTTAAAATGCTGAAAAAATATTTTAAAATAAAAAACTAGGGGTCGATTTTTGAACAGAGAACTATCCGATAATGCTCTGTTCAAAAATCCACCCTAGATGTATAAAGAATACAACATGAAGGCATACTGCCAGCAAAACACATATCAATTGATTATCATAATACCAGGCCCAGCCTTACCTACATTTATAAGAGTACATCATGGGAGTGTAACAAATACATAGCTACTTTCTCCTGAGATGGAAAATAGTTCATATCCCTTCCTGGAATGGGACCATATGGGTCTCAATGAATGTTGGCATGATCAGAGATGCTTACAGCAAGCCTGCACAGCCTCTGGATATTCTGAGAGGTCTATTTCCTCAGAATTGCTGTTGCCATTGCTCTGGCCTTGTCTCTTGGAGATAGAAGTGGCCAGTGAGTCCTCCACCCCCTCCCCATCCTCAGACTCATGGAATCCACTTGAAGTCCCTTCTTCTGTCAGTGTGCCTTCTCCTGGTTGGTATGCCTCATCCTCGTCTTCATCGTCGTCATCGACCAGGCTAGATGCTCTGGCACAATTTGATGGAGAATTATCTTGATGAGCTGACTCCTCGCTGAAAATACACCAATGTTTACAATAAATTATCCAGACCATAGTCTTCTGATACCCTTTAATTCCACCATCTGCTCTCCAATAAATAATTGAGGATTCTCCATAATGAATATCCTGATACAGAAAATTGCTGGCATTAGGGTAACTTGGGGTAATATGGCCCTTCACAAGGAATCCCCTTACAGACTGAATACTTAATTTGAGCGAATTTAAAAAATAGTTCTATTGAAGAGTACATGCAATTGTCGAAATGTTTAGACCTGTTCATCGATCCAGTTCTCACAGGAATTCGGGATATATCGATGTCTTGAAAGTCATATGCATGCAATTCTTTGACTCATGACCCTGAAACTAATATGAGCCTTGAGCAACTTAAGCATATATTTCCTAATAGCAGCATGGATACAGAAATAACTTCTAAGTTCTTCTATGGCCTCTCCGGAATGCTTGCGCAAAGTGCTAGCCCCTTCATTGCGGTTTGTAGGCAGTGATGTCAATTTTGCAATGCGAGCCAAAATGGGGGAATATGGCCATCTCGATTTGGGGTAATATCAACACATCCTTCATTTCATGTTAGCACCAAGCTGACCTATTGATAGTGTCAGCTTCCTTTTGTGTGGGATTTCAGGCTGCATAAGATCATCCAATACACTTCCTCTGGATATATGGATAGACATACTGGACATCTGGATGAAATATGCAGTACATGAGGAGGCTGTGCATGAGGATATGCTCATGCACCTCCTTCTGCATCACTTGACATTCTCCAGAAATTTTTGTTGCAGGAAACTTGAATGCAAGTAAATATCCCTTGTACAAATAGGGCATTCTGTGATTTTTTGGCACTATATATCCGTACATGCAAAAACTACGCAACTTTTTCCCTGCAATGTAATGCCTCGTATTTTACACTCATAGTGCCTGGTCACATTAATCTATGCTTGATCACTCCTCTTACACACACACAGTCTCTAGATATTGTCTCCCAATCACATGCAATGTTACTCAAAAGCAAAAGTGTTGCAATCCTGCTTTCCACAACAGTTCCTCAAGTCAGGTAATGATGTCGACTTCTTTGTTTCCTCAGTGCAGTTAGTGCTTCATTTTCAACTGCTGAGAGTCCTTCATCATGTTTCAAGGTACTCAGTATGTTTCAGTATATTTCACAGGTTCCTGGACGACCTGGAGTTGTTTTTTCAGAAGTGACCATATTCCCCCAACTACGGGGTGGTGCCTCTTGAGATGTACTCAAAAAAGACTCAAAGGTGCCGTAACCATGGTTTTTTTTGCATACGCCTTGCTGGCATTTAGCAAAGGAGATATCAATCAATATTTTAGAAACATTCTAAAAGTCAAATTCAACCTTGATGGGCAGTGATGAACAGGTTTCATTTTTTAGGGTCATATTCCCCCAAATTACCCTATAGCATAACATTCATAAGAACTTCACACTCAAACATGTTGGATTTCCAAGTTCAACATGTAGGTTACTGGTACATTACCAGGTAAAAAGCAACTCATGGATTTGATGTGATTTCAGTTTTCATCACAGCTAAATTATTTCAGACTCATTCAACTGCATTTTTCTTATACTTGACAATTTAATTTATTTATAATAAAAAAAGTGTGTCATGCAATAAATTCTCTATTCTCTCAGTTTTCAGGATTGGTAATTTTAAAGCTCCTCCGGATAGTCCAAGAAAGGAAGAGAAGCCTTATTTTGAAATCCTAAAATTTAACACGAAGGGCCTGATGCATGATTTCCTTGTATCAGCAGGAACCAAGATGCCTCATCAACCATAACCATGTACTGGCACTTGCCGCAATATCAGGTGGATCTCAACAAAGATCAGCAAGTATCATCATCATTCTGGCTAACAAGTGGACATTTACCTGCAGCCTAAATGTATCTGATAATGTAGAGTGAATTTGTATCTGGAATCCAAATATGTTTTTCAATATTTTGGTACTAGGTTTCAAAAAAACTATTTTACCATTTTGATACCATATTTGATGCACCTCTTCAACTCAATGGTCCTTTAATCACACTCCAAAGAATTCATTCAGCTGCATCTATATGTTACCTTTTAGGTACTTCCCAGACTTTTTCATCAGTTTAAGTGCAGTACTTCACAACACATTTGCTTAGATTCCAATTCAGAAGGTAAAGAGAAACTAACCCCAATCATAAAATATCAACGAAGTATAACATAAACAAACATACCTTGTCCCAGTCTCAGTCCCATCTTGTGCATCGATATGTGACTCAGTAGTGTGAGAAACTGAGTAGTGGTTAGTGACAGGAACTTCATCAAGATCTGACTCGTCTCCTGATTCTGGACTGTAGAAAGTTGATCCAGATTCTTCACTGGGAGAACGTGCCCTTTCTGGGAATGATATTTTCTCTAAAGGGTTTTCCAAGGGAGGGGGGCTGGCTGCCCTTTCTCCTTCCTCATTTGCTGTTGTCTGACACTCCACATCCATCTGAGATTCAGAAGTGTGCGAAGTCAAAGAAGCAGAGTAGCGATTGGTGATGGTGACTTGATCAAGATCTGAATCATCTCCAGATTCTGGACTGTAGAATGTGGATCCAGATGCTTCACTGGGAGGACGTGTATCTTCTTCTGGGAGTGTTCTTTCCTCAGAAGACTGGGCCTGAGATAGGCTTGCCTCCTTCCTTCTACCCTTCTTCCCAACAGTCTGGTGTTCCTGAGCCTTCTTTCCCTTTCTAAAAGAAACAGTAGAAGAAAGTGTGCTGCCCAACTTTGAGCTTTGAGACATCTGTCTGACATTTGGTCTCCTTTCTGCCTTATCCTTCTCCATCTCTGAGAATGAGAGCATGCCGGTGTAATCCACAGCCTGCAGGGAGCGGAGGCTCCGGGACCCACTGCGCATCGTTCCATCTATAGACCTGAGGTCTGTACCGTTTGTCATCTGACAGGCATCTGTTTCATTTTCTGTCTCTTCAGTATCAATACTGTCTGTTGTGTCACGAACAGTGGCATCGTCTGTTCTCTCACGAAGAGTAGCATTGTCAGTCACCTCATTTTCTGTTGTCTCATGACCATTTGTGTCATTTGCACTCTCTTGAACTATAGTGCTATCTTCTGATTGGTTCTCTATAGTGGGAAGTTCTGAAGTCTCTAATGATATAGCAAAACTTGAAACAGTCAAGCTGGTTTTGGTGGATTCTTGGGAAGTCTGGATATTTCCTGTGGTAGTACCATGCTCGTGGATGTCCCCACCTTATGAAAGAATCAATAAAACCATTCTAAATTATGATGGATGAAACACCACAATAGTGCTAACAACTTCACTCAGCAAAGACAGAATTATGAGAACTGTAAGACAATATGTGAAAAACAAAATTTAAAGTAATAGCAGAGCCAAGTTTTACACCACTGATTGAATATAAGAATTTTTTTTAATTTGCTTAATATTAAAGTACCTATTTCTATCTATTTTTCAATGTTGGGAGGTCAAAGACAAACCAGAATAGCATTTCATTCACTATTCTTCAAAATTTACAACAGAAATACAAAATAATTGCAGACCAGAGCTCAGCCATTAGCTTACTTTCCAAATTCTGACTAGACTGATAATATGAAGGAAATATAATAAACTGAAGCCCTTGAAATAAAGAACATGGGTGGAAATAAAGAAAATAGCATGAAAATACAAAACTGTAACATTACCTGATATTGTTTGTGCACAATCCTTTCTAACCAAGTTCTCGTGACATCAATAGTAATGTATTAATATAACAAATCAATATTTAAAACCCTTACAAGATATGCAAAAAAAGTTTGAATTTGCACAGAAAAGATGGAAGCCTGCCAATTGGAAAGCATGTGCTGTGAACATCTGTGCCTGAAAACACAGGTACAGAGTTGCACCACTACATCAAAATGTATATCACAATCACCCACAAACCCTAGAAGCAGTGGCATAATCATGATCATGACCAGGCCACCAAGAAATGTGGGAGTCTGAGGGAAAAGCCCCCACCCAAGTGTAGCTTTCCAGGGACAGACGTGAACAGAGAGAGGTTACACAGATATCCCCAGGAATTGCTTCCTCCTCATCCTAATTTAAAAACCCTTGGAAGTGAGAATTTTCATATCATGATTTCTACAAGAATCACTAAGGCCAACTAAGCCTGCATGTCCATCTTTCCTCACTGACTGTCCTGTGACTTATATCATTCCCTCCTATCCTTGTTTCAAGCTAACTTTCCAGTGTAATATCATCCAGTAAAAACATTCAAAAGCAACATTTCCTCACTTTTGTCTCCACTGTAATGCTGTAAAGATCCTACAGATAAGATCGAAAACAAGAATATAGACCTAAAAAATTAACCTAGAAGTTCTTACTTCAGGCCATCTTCAATGAAAACACCTGCTCTAAATGACAAATCTGATGGTGTGAAACATGTGATAACACTAAGTAAAGACACACTCCCTTAGTCCCAGAGAATCTCAGGGGAGTAGTCACAAAGCATCCCTCAATTCTGAGAATGACTGATCAGTCAGTAATTTGGGAAAGCAATTGATGTGGATTTCTATGGAGGCTTTACCTCAGACTCTTGACCTCAGCAGCTGGTAGGTAACTTTTCCCCTTTTTCTTCCTTCCATCTTACTAGATGGATTCCTGGGTGTAATTTTTCTAATCTCATCTAATTTTTACCCTGCTTCTTGTGAAGATAGGATTCTGCATCATGCTTGGGAGTTTCTCTTAGGTCACAATTCAAAGAACATTCTCTTCTCAAGCCCTAATGAATAACATCTCTTTGGAACTTGTTCTGGTCAGGCTTCTCCATACAGAGATGAAGCTGTCTCTATAATTCACTTTTCATTATATTGGCTACCATTGGCTTTATTTTGATCCGGCAGTGCCTTGGCTGGTCACAGTTCTTTAATTACTTTATTTTAGACTAATAATAATTTAAAACCCTCACGATTTCTCAGCGATGCCCGGCTTCCAACTCGTGGATTTGAATTGAGAATAGAGGTCTTGGAACTTCTTCGCTTTTCCACAATGCTTTTTCCAGCCACTCTAGAACTCTTGTTGTGCAAATCCTCAGATTCAAATGATTCCTCCCAGTCTATGGATATCTGCTTCGCTGCACTCAAATTTTTTTCTTGCTGCCTGGTTGATGACTCCATGAGAGTGGCCTGCTTCTTGGAACTCTTCTCCAGCACTTCTAAACTCACATCAGCAGCTGCTGAGGTGTTTGAAGATTTCCTCTGTGTGCGGAGGCTCATGCTATGGGAACTCTCTGAACAACCAGATGACTTCACTGGAATGGAAGGCTGCTCAAGTGGAGAGTCTTCATCAGAAGACTGTTCATCATCTGCTTCCTCACAGGCAGCCATCTGGTGGACGGATTGAGACGGTTTGAAGCGCTTCGGGGACGACTGGGATCGGTCCTTCCCAGGACTTTCTTCTCTTGATCCACGGGAGTCCATGCTCCTCTTGGTGGAGGAAGCTGCTGCAGAGGGTTCTGCCATGGATGACCGAACATTGGCAAACTTCTGAACCTCCCGCTGCACGATGCTGGAGATGATGGCCTGCAGCCGACTCGTGTCCACCCCCTGAGATAAACGGTTTATGGAGGTTGATCGAGGCTCTTTAGCCTTTTTAATGATGCTTGGCATGACATCAACTGTGGCATTGGCTGGGATACAGGAAGGCAGAGGGTGAGATTTGGATCCATATCGGCCTGGGAGTTGGGGGGTCTTCTCCACAGGGGTCACATGCATTTCAGGGCTCATAGATGAAGGCTCTGAATTCCTGCCATGACACAAGAGAGAAGTTGTGAGAAGTAGTGCAAGGCTTCTTCATGCCAATGAGTGTTTCAATTTCATAATAGAACACTTTAATGTGTACTGGGGTTCACAACTTGGTAGATGTACTCATTCACTGTCCTCCTTCACAATGACATTGGGACAGTTGCCTGTTGCAGAGATGTTCACTACTGGTACTGTATTACTACTGCCTTAATAGCAGAGACTAAGGAGACCTGCTCCATTCTCATTACCTTTAATTGCTTTTATTGGGAGACCAAGGATTTGGCTAAATAGTAGGAAATCATAATACCAAGCTCCAATGTAAAAAGATGAGCAAATACTGTATGCGAAAAAATAAAGAAATAAATAAGGAAATATCTTCCCTTGAGAATTGTCAGGGTATGATCTGTATGACAATTCAATCAATTAAAGTCTCCCATTTCACCAGATTTTCTCAATCTTTGCTCACAGTAAAGTAAACCAGATAAAGAAAAGAAATATACCGATAGTGAGAAGGGGTCACGTTAGGGGAGAGGTGCAGGCTTCTCCCAGCTGTGGCATCTCGAATCCCCATGGTTCTCTCTTGAACCACATGCTCAACCTCCTCATCCTCTGGGATGACCTGAAAGAAAGACTCAGGAATATGAATGATGACGTAGAACAGACTTTCACAGCAAGAGGCAGAAGGAAGCCCAGATGTTGCACTTAGGTGCTGGTTAAAGGATTTCCTACAAAATTATTGTTCAAGGCACAACTTTACAATTCTTCCCTATAACTGATTCAGGGCAAATATGTAGAAAAACAACCAACAAAAATAGCACTTGGAAGAATTCATCACAAAAGGGTCTTGGGTTGGTTGATAAACTGAATTTTGGGCTTGTAGCAACTGCCTTTAACCCTTTGATGAGTAGGCCTGTATATATACGGGCTGACATCCTCCTGCCCTTTGTATATTCACTACAGGTGATCTAAGCATTTGAAAAACCCACTCCTCAAAGGGTTAAATGGAAAGTTTGTTTTTGCAACTTCTCTGACAATATCTCTATAGGACTTATATGAAGGAGTCAGCACAGCTGGACTTTTGGTTTTACATTGAACTCCTCCCTCCCAGGATATGTAGGGAACCATATGGCATTATCAATGTACAGGCTGCATAACATACTTACCATCTAATAGCCAAAACAAATATTCTGTCACACACAAGGGCATCACAAATGAATTACACTCCTAAGTCTCTGGCAGGAATGAAATACACTCTCAAGTCTCTTGTATATAGATGATAATTAGCACTGACATGTTTGCTGATTGTATACTCGTTAACCTTGAAAGGCATTTTAACATGCATGAATCCATGACAAAATACATGGATGATAGGGTAGTGGCACCAGTTTGTAGCCAGGCACATAATAGGGGAAGAGAAAATTTTCTACCATCTTAAAAACACTAGAAATTCATATCCTTGGCTGCTTTACATTTCATGCCAGCCTGTTACATATGTTAAGCAGTGAACGATACAACTCCTCAAATCAGACATTTATTCAATTAGGTTTACATGAAACTCTACATACAAATACTATCCTCATCTGTCCCACAATCCTGTATCAGGCTAGCAAGACTCAAGACTCCTACAATAACAACCTTCCTCTGGCTACTGGTGCAAGTGCATGACACTAATAACTGCACATTGAGGAAACTGGGAGTAACCAATAAGAACCACTCACATACTTGCCTAATTGGCAGCATCAAGATGGCCAAGAGATCTAGTACACAATTTCAGGATGAATCTATCATTTCATTTCAATCATATGATATAGTACACTCCTATCATGCAACTTCAATGAACTCAACAAATGGGGGAGAATACAAACCTGCACAATAAAGGTCTTCTCCACTCTTTCTGCAGGCTCTTCCTCTGGCACTGCAGGTGCCAATTCTTCAAGACCCTGTTAAGGTAACTATTACCCTTACCTTGCCGCGAGTCGTGCTGAGGAAAGGGAGTCCCAAACTGCTGCATTAACGAGGGCTAAGAGGAAAGGCTAGGGGAGACTAGAACGTAGTCTAAGGTTTCATGGATGGTTTTGACAATTAGGTGTTTCAGATTCTCCTATGAGCAAATAATAAAAATTGGGAGTCATAACATTTTAATAGAAGGTCGAATACATGTAAAGTTTGAACACCTAAAATATTTTTAAAACTATAATGAAAGAACTGGCTCCATCTGTTGGGACAATAGGCTGTTACATGATATTGGCATGCATCTTCCAATCAGCACCAGTATGAGTAATATTCTCATTCAAATTAGGACTTGCACGTTCAGGCAAACATATCTTTGAATGGAAAAATGTGTCAGCTGATACCATGCCAAAGCTACAGAACAATTGAAATACTGTTCCTATTCCATTTTAGTTCAGTGGTTAGGCATCCCATTCTGAAAGTCAAATACCATTCTATTACATGGATGTACATAAAAGTAGCCCAGTCATTGGTTTAGAGTCTGTAAGGGAACAAACATGTTCTTTCATTTTCCCACCCATCCTTTCTCCCTACAACCTTGAAAACTGGTTTGGCTAGTTTCTGCAAGAGAGGGGGGAAAGCTGTCTCCATATGCATTGTAGCTTCAGTCTCAACTCCCAGTAGTCTGTTGGAAATAAAAAGTAACATGCCATATTCTGTGATGCAGAGTGTTGGAACAGTGGATGCGTATGTGCAGACTAAGTCATGCAAACAAACATGAGCATTTTCAGGGAACAGGAGGATGTTACAGGAGAACATTTCCAGCACTCGTGAATGTAATTTGCAAACACACATCAGAAACCTCCTTTGCCATTGTAACAACACTCATGTCAGGTGAGCTACTTTTCTGTGGCCCAACTGGGGTTTAGAATAGCTCTTTTGTGTTCCAAAGTTATTTACTGTTCCAAATGGAATCAACCTGTTTTTTTTTTTCCCCCTCCTTGTTCCAGTTTTCTTGCCTGAAGATCTGATCAGAACATAAGGAGAGAATGGCCAGTAAGGTAGAGCATGGATTATGCATGCCTGATGTCAGTATTTCATTGACTATCATAGATGAACCAGTGATGAATATCATGACACATAAATCTCAAGCAAGAACTACTTGTTTCAATGCTTCATCAATTCATTCATCCTACAACTTTGAGTCGGCATCACAAGACTAAACTGATTCTGAAAGAAGGTTGTAGGTCATCTATGCCACTGTCTTATCAGCATATTCCTTACAGTATTTCCTTGATGCTGACAAGTATGAGAGGCATGCTTTGCTTCCAAGTAGACTTGGTAGTATTTAAAATCAAAATAATTTCTTAACCAGGAAGTCTTTCACAATAATACTACAAAGAACTTTGCTGATATGAGTAAAGCACAAATACTAATTTTCATCGAATCACAAACCAATATGAAATATGATATCCCCAGATGTTTGAATTATGAAAGGTTAGGATGTTGCATTATGTAAAAGGTAACAAATTTTAAGTGCTAGCAGGATTCACCTTCTTTGGCTTTCTCACTGGATGATGGTAAACTTTCAGGCTTGGAATCATCTGAAGGAAGGGTTGTAATCGTGACATCGAAGCACGGTCGAGCACACGGCTTGATGGAACTCCCTATGCCAGTGCTGTTCAGTGGCCCTTCCCGTGCAACCATGCAGGTATTTGAAAACACACTCTTTCGAGTTGAAACACGCCTTCCAGATCCAGGACGGGGTGTTGAAGTGTCCAGTGGCCCCATTGGACTCTGCTAAAGGAGAGCCAGCACCCACCCAAATCACATCAACAATGATGAAGAATGTCAGGGCGTACTAAGATGGCTTACCAGGTTTTAGTAACTTGGCTGGAAATTTACTTTCATGATGAAAAAGAGAGAATATCCATGATTCAAGCAGCTGCTAGCTAATGGATCTCAATGCATTGAGCAAATATTATTCCATATCAGACATTGCAAACTCTTTGAAATTTATTATCACTGAAATAACTTGTATATAGAGAAATGAACATCAATCTTGATTAATCAATGAAACTGAACCCTGCATGACTATGGAACAGAGGGGAAGACTCACAACATTCATTGTAGGAGTTGCAGATGGCTTGGGAGAAAGCTGCTGCAGTGGTCTCCTGAGCTCTGTGGCAAGGCCTTTAAGAATGTCCCTGCAGGAAAATTAAAAGGTCCCAACATTCTATCATTCAAGTTGTGTTCCAAAGACCATAATGCAGAAATGAGTATAAAAATTGCAGTAACATTCAATTAATCCTAAAGACAGACCTTCCAGCAAGTCTGCGTGGTAAATTCTGTAAGGCTTCTGTCACAACCAGGTCTGGATCAGGAGAGTTGCAAAATGTCTTTGATGTATCAGAACTGGAAAAAAGGAAATTCACATAATCCAGCAAACTATTATAAATTGGCTTATTAAAGGATGTTAGGGTCTCACCTAGCAGTACTTCGTTGTCCAGTTGTGATGGATGCAGTGCTGGCATCTGACATGATTGAAGAATCCTCATAAGCGATCTTCTTCCCGGCCATACGGTCAGCACGGTACTTCTCTGAATATGCACGAGTCCTGATGCAGAAATGCATGAACATGAGGACCAGGCCAAGAGGATTAAGATAGTAATCAATGCACTACAACGTATTGCTCACTAGCTAGTAACACCTGATGTAAACAATGACTAATGGTAACATAAAGCACTGTTTTTACTGCATTAACAAAGTAATGCAACAGGGTGCCAGGAAAAGCACACTGAAAAAATTCTAAACTCAGTACCATTACAGCTGAATCTAACATGGTTCTTCACAACCAAATGGATGCCAAAAGTTACAATAGAAACACACAGCATGAATATGCTCTATTCTGTCACTGTTGTAATTACAATAGATCCCATCAGAAAAACCTGGTACTTATGTGTTGCTTTCAAGGCAGTAGGAAATACTCACTTCCTCCTCATTTCCTCCTGTTCCTCTTGAGAAAATTTTGTTTTGGGCTGTTGCTGAGCGGCCCTGAACGCTCTGCGTGTAGCCACACGCTGCACAGGGTTCTTGGATGACAGCATCTTGATTCTTTTTAGAACTTCACAATTTCAACTCATTCATATATTCAACTCAACCATGCTATCTAGTGCATTTGCCACTAAAAAATGAGTCAATAAATGCAGCATCACCTAAAATCATAAAAACCATCTACCTTTCTAGAATAGACAGATTAATAAAAGAACAAGAGACCCATGAAAATTTGAAGCTTCTCACTCAAAAAATTTTGCAAAGGTTTTAGCTTGACTAAGACACCTGAACATGAGGAATATCCCATATAAAACCATATAAATCAAGTGAAAACACTGCTAAGTCTCATTGACCTGTTGATAAAGGAAGGTAGAAAGAAGGAAGATAAGGTGGCACAAGAGTTCAATATTCTATTGAGGATTAGGTGAAGCCCATGACTTGTAGCACATCCTCACTTTAATCAACATCATTCACAAAATGTGAGAGCACATTGCAGGCATTGGTTTTNGGAAGATAAGGTGGCACAAGAGTTCAATATTCTATTGAGGATTAGGTGAAGCCCATGACTTGTAGCACATCCTCACTTTAATCAACATCATTCACAAAATGTGAGAGCACATTGCAGGCATTGGTTTTTGCTGGTCAGTTATGAAAAATACAATAGGCCTATTAAAATTTATTTCATCAGCAAACTAGCACTCCCATGATGACTACATGAAGACTGGTTGATAGTATATTGAAGCCTCTCATATTATACAGTAAAATTCATGAGCCTGTGGGCTCCATGACAATGAAGAGAGGCAGTTGGGAGAACACACTTAGGAATTAACCCAGGAGTTTTGAGTAGCATGGGGATTAAAATGAACCATTAAGGTGCTATTCCAAGAGCCAGGAAGAGCAAATAGCTTTACCTTGGCAGATAATTTATTCATAAAAGGGAATATACTCATACCTTTACCATAAGTCAAACATTATGGCAAATGGATGGCTACACATTCTCAAGGAAAAGACTTAGAACCAAGAAAGCCAGGGTTTCTGCACAAGGTGGGATACATGTTAGGCCCAAGATAGCATGTTTTTTGGGCTCGATTTCAAATGCATGATATGCCCAACAAGCGAAGGCCCAGAACCTAGTGACAAGCGGTATTTTTTTTTTACTTTAATGCAAGGCCTTGGGTGCTATTCAGCCTATAGACATTGATATATATTCAGCTTATATCCTATTCACATATAGAACTAATGAGCGCCCTTGACTTAACGTTAAGACTTCGACATAACAATGGCCTAAGATAGACCAAATTTAGAGTTGGGCCTAGGGATACCACATTCCAAATCAATAATCGTGTTTTGATCCTGGAAATCAAATCGAATTCGCATCTTCATGAACAATGTCCACCTCCCCCTTTAAACGGACAAAAAACACATCAACAGCATCGCCGAGACACCGACATGGAAACCGGCGGGACAATCGTTGGCCGCGCTCGGTCTATGCCCCGAAATGGACCGCCGAGTGGTTTGAGGAGGGTGCAGGGATGCCACAAGACTCTCATCGTGCACACGCTGTCGAGATTCATTTTCTCTTTTATTCCTCTTTCTATAAATGTATTTTGCTCCGTGATTATTCCAAGTTTCTTTATTCTATACCATGCTTGTTTCTTCTTCTCACTATAATCGTGCACTGGCTTGCACAGCTGATCGCGTTGTAAAGGGTGGGAATAGAGGTTGCCTAGAATTCTTGTTTGATCTGTAAGCCCCGCCCCTCGGAGCCCCCCCCCTTCCCTCATGACCGATGCCGTAGGCCTAGTTGTTGTCCTGGGTCTCCCATGTTGGGGACATAAGTGAAGCTGATGGTGGGGAGGGGAGTTATAATAAGGCGCTGGCATTCCTAGCGCAACCATCAGGTTCACTCGCTGCTCTCGTCCCTCTTCTGAGGCTTCTGCAACGAGTACGTCGTCACGTTTATGCCATTTCTTTCGGGCTGCTGAAGGAATCGAATGCAAACGGTGCCTTATGGTCATCACGGAAGAGGAGTCGCAT